CAAAATACGAGAACCACCTTATTGGAAAAGTGGCACTGGTTTGTATTTGTATTTTGTACATAATATTGGCTTTCTAGATATTTTTATCCTTGAATCTCAGTCTAGTCTTTCTTCCATGATAGATGCATAGATTCATAGATCCATTTTCTAGAGTTAGAAATTAATGAGTAATAATAATGACGATAAAAATAATAATAAAGGAATGCTGAGGTAACATTTTGTGTTTGGTGCTGTGAAAACATTTATTTTCTTGCCGTCCGAAAATTTAGATATGTCAAGAAAATCAAGTGTGACCTCTGTTGAAGAAATATTGAAGCAAACAATTTTTCTACTGTAACCAACATTCACACTTCCTAATTTTCATAATACAAATCCATCGAGTCAAAGTCAATTGAATTCTTTATTTTGAAAATAAGATCAATGTGCTTAGTATCAAAACTGATAGAAAAGTGTTTTGGTTCATGTAGTTCTTTTTCAATTTATTTTGCTGAACATCATTTGTATCAGTAAATAAACATCACATATATGAGATGTCTATTCCATGATTCAGGAGTACATCTTATCTAGAAATATCATGAAACATCATGCTTGTAAAAGGTGTTCCAAAATTAGTCTGCAATGATCCTCCATTTACGGACAAAATACTAAAAACAATGAAGTTCCTATGTCAATGTTTTCTTTTCAATGGCTAATATGAAGTCAATAATTCTGGATTGAAATACAAGGTGATTCACATAAGAACCGACATAGATCAGGGGCATGTAGGAGGTCCCAAAATATGGCAATTTAACGCAACTTACCTCTATACCAAGTTGCTTCCCTAAGGAGCTATAGGCTTTGAAAGTGGAGTTATAAATTTTGAAAAAAATCAATATCTCCGTTATTCTTGAACTTAAAGCAACCAAAGTTGGTACACTTCGTGGATGTATTTAGGGCGTTACTTGGCAGTAACTAGAGCTTAATTGAAATTTGTAAAGGGGGTATACCGGGTGGCGCACCATTAATATTCAACAGAATTTTGTTAACCCTCGATGGATTTCGAAAATATTTGCTTTGTTGTGTGGGCCATTCAATTCTAAAACTTTTCTTAGTCTAGTAATTTTTTTAAAAACCTCATCATTTTCATCAAAAACTCGAATAACTGAAAACGCGCGCTCTAGGTGTGTTATTTAAAATCATCGAAAATTCAAAAGTTGGCTATGAAAATAAACGTACAACAAGAAAGTAGGTCATTAATTGTGATCAGTAGAAATTGGCTGGCAAATTATTATTCAGATACGTAACAAAATACGTAAAGTAAGGACAAATACTGAAATGTGAAAAACTGGGATTAACAACTAACCAAAATGAACACAAAAAACTTAAACAAAACAACAACCATAACAAACAATTGTTTATCGATAAAATACTTAATTGAACAACTTCCTTGCTTCATTGTCAAGTTTGGCGTTTATTTTCATAGCCAATTTTGAATTTTCGATGATTTTAAATAACACAACTAGTGCACGCGTTTGCAGTTATTCGAGTTTTTGATGAAAATGATGAGGTTTTTCGAGAAATTACTAGACTAAGAAAAGTTTCAGAATTGAATTGCCCACAAAACGAAGCAGAGATTTTTAAAATCCATCGAGGGTTAACAAAATTCTGTTGAATATTAATGGTGCGCCACCCGGTATACCCCCTTTACAAATTTCAATTAAACTCTAGTTACTGTCAAGTAACGCCTTAAATACATCCACAAAGTGTACCAAATTTGGTTGCTTTGAGTTCAAGAATAACGGAGATATCGATTTTTTTCAAAATTTATAACTTCACTTTCAAAGCCTATAACTCCTTAGGGAAGCAACTTGGTATAGAGGTAAGTAAATTGCCATATTTTGGGACCCCCTACATGCTCTATGTCGGTTCTTATGTGAATCACCCTGTATAGTGTGGACTAATTTTTGGATATTCGCGTCATACATTTACACATCGAACTGTAGCGTTGTGCATATTATCAGTAAGCATATCAATGATGAATAATCATGATTCATATAATCTCTTTCCAGTTCCAATTCGTCAATTCCTTCCTTTCTCTCTTCTACATCGCGTTCTATCTACAAGACCAAGCACGCCTAAAAGAGGTAACACACCACTCTATACAGATTGTTTATCGAATCGTTACATATAGGAGCATTAGGTAACAATGACAACATGGTCAGTTACGGAGAATGTGGCCAGTGTTGCCAAATTTCCCGTTTTTTGCAGTAGATCTACCTCTTTTATAATGTGAACGACCGTTCTACCCAGGGCCTCAATATATTCTGCTGAAATTTCCACTCATACTTTTAAATTTGTTTATATCCAAATAAAAACTGTTTACCTAATTTTATTTCGATTTCATTCAATTACAAGAAAAATAATGGAGGGTGATTCAAAATTCGATTTAAAAATTTCAGGGACATATTGTTGGGATCAGAATAAGACTTTTTTTTCAAATATAATAGATATCATCGAATACTTCCATGAATCTTTGATATAAGTTATATTCCTCAACTCGAAGATTATTTTTTATTAATAGTATTTACGTCTTACTATAGCAACATAACTTATTCGAAATAAAAGATAAACTGATATGGATAATACAGAGTCGTATCCTACAAAACTCCATAAACATGTTTCCTAAAATTCAACCCCTCCGAGCTACGGCCACTGTGAGTTAAGTTAAAAAAAGGATTACTTCTTCTTCTTCTTCTTCTCTGCACAGGTGGGCGGGTGCGTAGACCCCTGCACTCAGGCCTCTTCAGTCGGGCCCATTGTGCGTCCACTTGTCCTGTGAATCAGCTGGGCATGCCGATTTCTTTGACGAAATTCAGCAGCTTCCTCAGCTGAGTCACTTTCACATCCTTTGGGTGCAGTACAATGCTCCCAAAGGCAGTTTTCCTCTGATGCACCAGCGCGGGGCATTCAGTGAGTATGTGTGATGATGTTTCATCATCCTCCAAGCACCATCTGCAGATGGGATCATCTTTGATCCCTATGAGTTCTAGGTGCCTGTTGAGGTGGTTGTGCCCAGTTAAGAGCCCAACTACCATCTTGAGATCCCTTCTATTAATTTACAGGATCTCTCTCGTGAGCCCTTTTTGGAGGTTCCTTTATATGGAGCTTTGATTGTCTCATTCCTGGTGTGTCCCACCATGTTTCAAGGAACTGCCTCTGTAGCATTTCCTTCATGAAGGACATAGCCGTACTATTGGGTATTCCCAATATCGGTTCTGGTCCAATGGGTGTCGTTCCTGAACCGATCTTGGCTAGTCTGTCTGCCTCCTCGTTCCCCGGGATACCAGAGTGTCCTGGAACCCACATGAGGCTGACTTTCCTAGTTTTAGCCATATTTTCTAAGGCACTTCTACAAACACTCGGACACCAATTTAGTTGTGATCCTATTGGATCTCAATGCCATAATAGCAGCTTTACTGTCCGAGCATATGGTGACTGGTCCACGTCCACTTCTGCCGAAATTTTCTTGGACACACGTCAGAATTGCAAACACTTCGGCCTGGAACACTGAAGCGTATTTGCCAAGAGGTACTGAGATTCCTTTCCCTGTTCCTCCTTCAAGGATTACTTATCTAACAGTATTACTAAAATAACGGATCAAATCTTCTGAAAATTGCCATGCCCCTGGCTTTTATGCACTTAATTTCCTGCTTGCTACAAAACTGATATAAACCCAGTTTTGGGGGAGTTGAAAGGGGGTCCACACTTTTATTGGCTCAAATGTTATGTTCAAAATGAGAAACTCTGACTTTCAATAGCATGATCTTGTGAGCCATAATAGTATATTGTGTAACAAGTGTGTCAAAGTTTTGATATTTTATTTTTTTGTGTTGCATTTCTAAAGATATTGAGAATAACCCAAGAAATGTTGGGGATGCACTGATTTTCCTCGAACAAAAAAAATCGTTAGTTATTTTCCAATCTTTACACACTTTTGAAAATCTTCGTCACTATACTAGTGACAACCTCTTCAAATGAGAGGATATTTTCCACTACGAGGCGGCTCAAAACATACCTCAGAAATACTATGGAAGAACAAAGGCTCGATGGACTACCTCTCCTGAATATTCATCGAGAAATTTGAATATGTGTTGAAGATGCCATAGAATTCTTGAGCAAATCAAAGGAGCACAAATTGATTTTTGTCTGTTATATTTCACTCAATATTATTGTTTGTGCTCGTTTTTGTATCACCTTGAAGAGGTTTCAATAATGCAAACTCTTCGTTGTGGTTTTTTATTGAAAATCAGTTCGTATCTGAAATATATCTGACATCAAATACCTGAGAGTGAACTAGACAAATGTCAACTAATGTAAAGAAATATCATATCATACGTAAATTCCGATATTATACCATTCTGAATAGGTTCTGAAGAACAACTTACCTGATATACCAGGGATTAAAGGTAGATGATCTCAGAAGACAATCCCACAATAACTGGCCCAAAAAGCTATTTCATAATATACAAATGATGATCAATGAGACACAATACAGTGCTTCTAGATCTTACTCATTCATTTAATACAGTAGGTTTCTGGATTAGGAAAACGTTGTTATGCTACAACTCTCCTCTACTTTCTTTATTTCGATCCACATCATCACCTAATCTCTGCCGACCCACTTCTTTTCGCAGATCATAGTTATGCAGCAAACTATCATCACTCTGCTGTTCCATGCTCACTTGCTCAGCCTTGTTGTTCGATTCCCTTCTCCTCACTTTTTTTCCTTTGCTTTATTTGCGTTGGGCGCCAAAAGAGGTTTCAATAATGCAAACTCTTCGTTTTGGTTTTTAATTGAAAATCAGTTCGTATCTGGAATATATCTGATATCGAATACCTGACAGTGAACTAGACAAATGTCAACTAATTTAAAGAAATATCATATCACACGTAAATTCCGATATCATACCATTCTGAATAGGTTAACAATTACATTTAAATCTGAAGAACAACTTACCTGAATACCAGGGTTTAGAGGACAGAAGACAATCCCACAATAACTAGCCCAAAAAGCTATTTCATATGATGATCAATGACACACAATACAGAGCTTTTAGATCTCACTCATTTATTTAATACAGTAGGTTTCTGAATTAGGGAAACGTAGTTATGCTACAACCTTACTGAAGTTTATTTATTGTGATTTCGAAGTGAGATTTAAATTTAATTAGTATGACAATGTTATATGGATTTTTTGTTGTTACTAGACATTTTTCATTTTATATTTATCATTCAGTTTATTTTCATGTTGCTAGCAGCTCTAAGCCTGATGTAGTCCGGGTGTTTTCAGAATAAAATGTTTTTTTTCTCTATGAAACTATTGATTCATTGATACTGCATTCACATGCCCTATGTGTAACAATTGGGCAAACAATCTGTAAATTTTTCTTCGAACACGCGTATATTTCTTCGTATCATTTAGCAACTGGCGGCGTTGCTCATAGCCCGCCAAGTGATAGGCAACCTGAAAGAATCCGCTCTTCCTTACCTGCTGGAGCACATGCGATTGGCTAAGATGAGCTTCGACCTGTGGGGCGCTCTGAGCCCCGTGGGGCGCAAATCTTTGCCGGGGCAAGAAGAGGAGACGCCTAACGGCGGTACCAACGATGACGGGGTGGATCAGCCGAACGCCAAACGGACTATGAGTCAGGCTGAGTTGGAGAGCACCCTGTATAAGGTATGTTTCGTCCCGATTTGGCTGTTTCGTATTTTATTTTTTCAACTTGTCAAGATGGGTAACACAACATCCTTGTTTTATAAAACATTCACTAAACAAATCATGTATTGAAATATAGTAGTTCAGCTGGCGTTAAAAGAGAGGAAAAATTGTCTTTCCCATCTGTCCTTGTGTTCGGTGTTCTAACATAAAATAATGAAAATTCTATGTTGGCAACACTGGTAATGAGCCACGTAAAATATTGGAACACAACCTCACTCTTCTGTGAATTAATGAAACGCAACCTCACTTTTTTATTTGCTTACAGAGGAATCAAAGGATTGAAATAGTTTTTCGCAATATTATGGCAAACGGATCGTGTTTTTTGCGCTAGTCATTAATTCGAGCATGCCTTTCACATTGTGCTGTTGTACAATGCACAAAAAATGCAGCGAGAGACGAAGGAATATGATTTTCCAGGTAATAGTAATCTCACATAGTTATCATTATGACATGTCATTCCTTATTAAAATTCCTTCTGCCACTTCTGCAATACAAGCTAATACTGCTAATAAATTGAAAATGTCTACAACACACACGATCATATTTTGTCAGCATGTCAGTCCAGTCCTCCCGTTTGATTGCATGAATCCAATCTTCTTGCATTATTTTAGGAATTTCATGTGTATTTCTATTAGCTCCTATTGCAGGAGGAATTCCGATGAGAAATTACCAAATTTCAAAAATGAAAACTATATGTGAGTGACTATAGTAGTTACTTACTTTTAAATCATAATGTACCAACAGGATTCCTTTGTCTTCTGCTGCAGTTTTTGTGCATTGTACAACAGCACTATGTGATGAAATGCGATTCCTATGCCAAAATAATTGTGAAAAACTATTTCAATCACTTGTAAACAAATAAGAAAAGTGAGGTTATGTTTCAATGTTTTGCCTCCAGGGTCGGTCATCTGACAGTTCTTGCACGCAGTTCAATGGGTTAATATGATCTCCTTTGTTTTTTCCATTTTTAATGTTACCAACATAAAATTTCCATTATTTTTCGTTGATGACAAAGGCAGATGGGGAAGACATTTTTTTCTCTATCAACGCTTGTCAATGGTTGTCAAATCACCAATTATAATCAAGTTATCAAAATGATGTCAAAGTCCTGTCGTTGAATAAAACAATTCTCTCGATTTTTTTTTGTCTAAAATCGAATACTTTTTTCGATTGTATAATAATTAACTATTGAATACCCTACAACTTCATGGACATAAGATTTCCACTCATAGTACCTACATTACATGCGCTTTATAGTTGATCCCGTGTTTTATAGAACTGTTTTTTTTTTTGTATTTTAGTACGATGGAACCTTTGCCGATCACCTTGAGATGACCATTCAATTAGGTTATGTCATCCTCTTTTCTTCCGCATTTCCTCCGGCCGCTCTATGTGCCATGCTGAACAACCTTATTGAAATCCGAAGTGATGCTTTCAAACTAGCATATGTGTGCCAGAGACCGTTCGGACAGAGAGTGCCCAATATTGGAACATGGCAGGTGAATAATTTTATGGTGCATTTAATTCTAACCACTTGATGCGTTTTTTCTGCGGAAAGTAGAAAAGTGAAAGAATCATTTGATTTTTGGATGATTTACTTGCTCTCTTGTAATCTTCAACTTTCTATTGGCATCTAGAACAATTTTTATTCAGGAAAATGTCGAGAGGGAGCCATATTGAAGAAAATAATGATAAATATTGTACTTGATTTTGAATAGATTCTTTTCTCAATTTTGCTGGGACCGGAATAATTGAAAGGCATTGACTACCGTGTCATTTGTGTTTACTTCAAGATGGCTTTCTTTAAACATTTTTGTGAATGGAGAACTTTTTTTCACGAGAGAACGTTAATAGCCATAATATAGTCAGTAGAAAAACTATCCGCCATTTCGAAATACGAATTTATCTTATTTCTGTCTGTCTTCAAGGTTCTAACCTGATATTATGAAAATTGTATATATTTATGTCGCGTGCACGATGACCGACCCTGGAGGTGAAATATTGAAACACAACCTCACTTTTCTGTAAAACATTGAAACCCAGCCTCACTTTTTTTATATGTTTACAGAGGTATCAAAGGATTGAAATAGTTTTTCACAATATTTTGGCATACGAATCGTATTTTTTGCGCTATTCATTAATAGGCATGCCTTCTCATTGCGCTGTTGTACAATGCACAAAAAATCCAGCAAGAGACGGAGGAATATGATTTTTCAGGTAATTAGTAATCTCACATAGTTTTCTTCTTGAAATTTTGTCATTTCTTATTAAAATGCTTTCTACCACTACAGAAATAGAAGCTAATACTGCTAATAGATTGAAAATGTCTACAACACACACACGATCATATTTCGTCAGCATGTCAGACCAGTTCTCTCCTTTGATTGCATGAATCCCATCTTCTTGCATTATTTTAGAAACTTCACGAGTATTTCTATTAGCTTCTATTGCCGAAGGAATTCCGATGAGAAATCAGAGAAATTACGAAATTTCAAAATGAAAACTACATGTGAGTGACTATAGTGGGTACTTACTTTTAAATCATAATGTACCAACCGGATTCCTTCGTCTCCCGCTGCATTTTTTTGTGCATTGTACAACAGCACAATGTGATGGCATGTGCGAATCAATGAATAGCCGAAAAACACGATTCGTATGCCAAAATAATTGTGAAAAACTATTCCAATCATTTGTAAACAAATAAGAAAAGTGAGGTTGTGTTTCAATGTTCCACCTTCAGGGTCGGTCATCTGACAGTTCTTGCACACAACCCATTGGTTTTTCATATTGAGGTTAGAATGGGCTCAGTTGGGGCGTAACATCTATTCATTACAACGTTGCCTATTTCACCGACTCCGATATTTATATTTGGTCAACGAATCAGCTAGTGTATGTATTATCTTTGCCAACATGAAATTTTCATTATTTCACATTGAGAAAATAGAGATTTTTCTTCTCTCAGCGTTTCTATGTTTTCTTTAGGAAAATAATGATGAACATTGTTCAAAAGTACTCTCCATATGCAGTGTTTGTAGTAGGAAGACAAGCTTATATCACTTGAAAATTATGTTGTTTTTTTTAGAATTGCATGGAATACATGAGCATCATGGCCGTCTTGGTGAATTGCGCCCTGATAGGGCTATCCGGCCAAGTACATCGAATGTTTTCGGATATGACGGCGACTCAGACGATACTATTGATCGTCGCTCTAGAGGTAACCACGAATATACAGAGTGATTTACCCAAGTCAAGTTGAATTTTGTGTATAATCTTTTTTTATAATCTATTATTTTAGTTATTGTGTTACTTTTTTTTCTTCATTGATACATTTTATACAAATAATATATAAAGTATCATTAATTGTTTAGTAGAAATGACATGAATGATCAGACAGTGACTCCTATAAGATCATTCATGAAGTATTATCGACTATTGGTATAATTGAAATTACAAATAGTGAATTAAACTTACATATCACTAAGATATGTCAAAATAATAGTATTCATGTAGTGAACAAGATGGGAGAAAAAAAAAAAGAAAATTCATAAAGTCTGTCAGATTTAATCATTCCTTTGCATCAAAATATATTTCATCACTTTATTTCTGAATTGTATAATATTTGGGCTGTTTTTGATATCATTTGGTAATAATATATTGAATTTCGAAATCGCCTCATGTGAAAACTTTTTTTGTCCAAGTTTAGAATTGGAAATTTTAAGAAAATTGATTGAATAGTGCTCTTTCAAAGAAATTGTGTTTTCTTCTTTATATAATTGATTCGTTGGAGTATCATATAGAAGACGATACAGTACTGTTACGTTATTCGGGTGCAGACAACACGACACTATTTATTTTCGAACTGATTTATTTAAACTAAAGAAACACTAATTTATATCGAACTTATAACTACTATTTATGTAAAACGATTTATATCACGCGGTATATAACTGTCTTTCTGACACTCGCTGCTTAACTGACTGACGGCAGTTATTCGGCCGTTTATATATGAGATCACTTGATGGCAGGCTTTGGTTCGAGAACCTTCTTGAATGATCTTCCGTCTTCTTCTTTTTGTTCTAGAAGCTTCTTAGAACAAACCTCTCTCTCTAATAATTGTTCCATCGATTGTTTCCAGAACATTCCAGAATCTTCTGTGACGTTATCTGTCACCGCGGCATATATTGAGTGTTCGGAAATATGCTAGTGCATGTAGGAATCATTGGGAGGTAGGAGAGCAATCTGGGATGCGTGATACAGGATGATCGTTGTACTCCTGCCTTCCTGCTGATGTTTCTAAAGCCCCTCCAAGGGGAATATCATTACAGTACTTTCAATCCCTTCCTATATGGAACAGAAATTTTGATGGAACTATTTTTGGATCAAGATACCCATATATTTATCAGATAATTGAAAAAATTATAGATGCTCCACCGGCAAAAAAAATATTTTTCCATGTAATTTTCACCTCTCAGTGTGTTATTTGCGGAAAAAATTAAATGTTTGAATAATGTTTCATAGAAAACCAATGGAAAATACTTCAGGACACTACAATTATTCTTCAAATTACCTATCATTTCAGCCTTTTTTCGTGGTAAATCTCAGTACAGGGTATCCCAATTTGGGCACTTTTGCGGGGTATCTCCCTTATCAGTAAAGATAGAGCATTGCGGTTTTCGCGACAGTGTGCTACTTTTTTATGAAATTAATAATGGCGCAAGCAGAATTGTGATAGCTCTTCCGGTTGTCGAGATACAGGGTGGAATTGAAAAATATCACTTTTCAGGCACCCTCCGTGTCTCAGTTATCTTTGAACTTATCGAAGAAGTTAAAACTTGTTTTTATAGAGTTTTTCTCGTAGAATCCAGTGGCGTATTAATTTTTTTGCTAGCACCTTTTGTTTTTTAGTTATGGAGCGAACATATGTTTTTTTAAATGGAACACCCTGTATATTATTTCATATATACATTGAGCATGAAGTGGGCTTTCCAAAAATATAAAATTGTATACAATTATTTTCCATTTAAAAAAACATATGTTTGCTCCATAACTAAAAAACAAAAGGTGCTAGCAAAAAAATATCTACGCCACTGGATTCTACGAGAAAAACTCTATAAAAACAAGTTTTAACTTCTTCGATAAGTTCAAAGATAACTGAGACACGGAGGGTGCCTGAAAAGTGATATTTTTCAATTCCACCCTGTATCTCGACAACCGGAAGAGCTATCACAATTCTGCTTGCGCCATTATTAATTTCATAAAAAAGTAGCACACTGTCGCGAAAACCGCAATGCTCTATCTTTACTGATAAGGGAGATACCCCGCAAAAGTGCCCAAATTGGGATACCCTGTACATTAATGAAGAGCATTTATTATATCTGCCAAATAGTATATTGCAGTCAACTATTCATTCAGGAAAATGTCATCAGAAATAAATTCAAAGCGTTTATGTTGACATGCTATCAAAATCATCCATCCTTCTCAAATTGGTGAAGAATAAAAAAAAATCAAGAACACTGATTCAGTCGACCACGACAATAACGAAAATTGTGTAATTGTATAAATAGAGTCCCTATATCAAAGCCGTATATGCAAAGCAGGTTAAAAATTAAAAACTAAAAAATATCTGTTGTTCAAAAGTCAATCCTGAACCACCAAAAAAACAATTCATTGACTTGGTTAAACATCAGGCAAAATTGAAGACCACATTTTTAAAAATCACTCAAACCTTGAGTTTCATCAACTGGCATGACCTATTGTACATTTCATTGTTTAGTCGATATAAATTGTTAGTAGTGGAAAAAATAGCTGTTGGAGGTGTCACGTTTTAACTTGCCGTCAGTATTTGCATCGAATTCATTTTCATCGTGGGTTCTTTTAGCACATCATGCTGGTGATACGATTCATCATCACTTGCGCCATACCAGATATACCAGGTTGGTTAGCCACCGAAATGGCTAAGATCGAATGGGCCAGAAGAGAGGCTGGCAGAATCACGAATAGTACCCCGACGCCCGAAGAAACTACGTCTAATCAAATCGGAAGGTAATTAATAGTATTTATATTTCATAGTGAATACCATATTGATTATATTGACCCCCTCAAAGTAATATATTATACACCTAGGGTGAGAAGTGAGCACTTTCATATCAAGAGGTGCGAGCTATTACCACCCCTAAGAAAGTTCTGAAACAATTGCAGGGGGTGAGTGTAGTTTCAACCCTACGATCTACAATTAATTTAGAGTTAACCACAAATAAATTGATGGAAAAATCGGAAACTGACAGTACACGGACGTACATGACATGAAGATTTGACAAATTGAGAGAATTAGGAGAAAGGTGCAAGTTTGTGCAGTTTCCAACTGTGAGAACACGGGAAATCAATTCACTCTATTCGAATTTCCATCGCATAACGTAATTCTACAAAAATGGAAACAGAATATGATGCACCTGGCATGGAATATAGGTTCAGGCCACAAAAGTATCCAAATTTCTTGGTAGGATATAGAACATTTTTCAACACATTTTTATCAGGTATTCTTCAGAACGGAATATTTGATGTTGAAGAATAAGATCGCATTGAGAGAAACAGCCGAACTCTCGATTTATAAACTGAGCGAATATCGAAAAGAACTTTATTCCAATTTAGAACCAACAAGAAATTCATTTCGAACATATTTTGAAAGAAAAAGATTTGTGAATCGAAGGTTTACGAGTGGAAGAGAGTGAGGAATTCAGGAAACAAATAGAAGAAAAAATAGAGAGTTGGAAAATAGGTTGAAGCAAAAAGATGTACCAGATATTGATGTATCTATATCAAAGAGTTGAATATATTATTCGTGTATCGCTTCTTCAAAGTTGAAAATGATCTCCCGATGGCCGGGTTCAAACCAACAATCCCCTTTAGCAATGTGAACGGTGATCTATAGTGAGTAGAGCGCTGAGCTCTATTCATACCTACTTCCGTATATCTTGGAGAATCTTTATTATTTATTCTAACTGAAACAGCTGTTGTTGTTGCCATAACATATGTTCATTTATTAATCACTTGTAACCTACTACTCTTGTACAAGCAAAATTGTTCCATACGAAACTTATCAGTTTTTACCCCATTCTGAACTTTTGTGATGAAAAAATATTCAACTGAACGTATATATATATACCTACATATAAGAGACTTATTTCATAGGAATAGTATATATGTATTTCGTTGGTATATATGTACATACCAACTTGATATCGACCTCCATTGAGGTCCTTCAGCCTTATCATTCAATATTTCCAGAAGAAATGATTTTCTAATCAATTTATCGTACCCTTTTAACCCACTGGAAGAGACGCTATGCACTCTCATACAAAAATCAAAGACAGAGAAAGATAGATGGATGTACTCTTCCCAGGACTTGTGGAGGAAGGAAGATGCGAGGATCCTTTATCTGAGCGAATAACATATTCTTGTTCTTATCTGGCAAAACATATGATTTGCTTCAAAATCGTTTGTGGTTATGTTTGATTGTCACTGCTTGTCTAGTGTCAAGAACAAGAAACCTCAAAACAGCAATGTCAAGTACATTTAGGAACTCTATACCTTTTCAACTTCAATTTCGGAATCGGTGAGTTATATTTCGGAAAAAGTAATCTCGATTTCAGAATTGGTTAGTTCGATTTCAGAAATGGTGAACTCAATTTCAGAATCGGTGAGATGAATTTCAGAAAAAGTCCATTCAATTTCAGAAATGGTAAGTTGTTTTTCAGAATTGGTAGGTTCAATTTCAGAAGATGAATCCCTATATATGTTTGAAATGTTTTCAATTGCAGAAGAGAGGATTGTTTACAGTGGATGGAACGGTGTTTGAGAGTGTGCGTTTGAAATGGGCATCCTGCAGATACCATATAGTTCTGGATAATGCACCTGCACATTCAAGAATAGAAGAGATATGCATGGAGGAAGGATTTCAAGATGTTATATTTTACAGATTGGCACCTTACAGCCCTATGTTTAATCCGATTGAACATATATGGAGTGCCTTCAAGTCAGAAGTGAAGAGCTTTTTGCAAGAGCATCGCCAAAGGGTCATAGCTGGGGATCCGAACAGATAGAATTCAGACTGTGTCTTGAAGAATGTGCAGATCATTCAATGAAAATCAAAATGATAACACCTCAAATGTGTTTGCATTCTTATAATCATGTGCAACGCCACTATCTTCCAGCGATTCAGATGGAAGGCATCTGTGGATCAAATTGTTTTTGAAAAGTTGAATATTTTAAATATGGTTTGTTAGTCTCACATGCAATTGGGAACATTTCGAACAAATATATGGATTTTTTTCATGATAGTGAACCTACCAATTCTGAAATACAACTTACCATTTCTCAAATTGAATGGACTTCATCTCACCGATTCTGAAATTGAGTTCACCATTTCTGAAATCGAACTAACCAATTCTGAAATCGAGATTACATTTTCCGAAATATAACTTACCGATTCCGAATGAAGTTGAAAAGGTATAGTTTCCCGGAAAAACGGTACATTTTTTCATCTATTTAAATGGGGTCCAAACAACTTATTTCGACATGTATTACACGTGGTAGCTCTGTGTCCCTGCATTTTTCGGACACCCTGCCTAAATAGCTATAGTCAACATTCCCGAGCGAATGTTTCTCTAGATTCTCCGTTTCTCCGAGCCACTCCATCGTGCAGACGACCGAGAACCTGCGAAGGTCCGCCGAGAAGTTGAAACGGTCCACGGAGAAGCTGAAGCAGGAAATCGAATCGGCGAAGGATGCCACCCCGCTGACGACCCCCACCACGCCGGGCGCCTCCACCTCCGGTCACAGGAATACAGGGGGAGTCACCATCGACAAGATACCGGAGATACCGCCCTTCAGGCCCAGGCAGACCAAAGAATGGAGCACGGCTGAGGTAATCTGAGAATTATTGGTTATGTCAACTGGTGGCGTTTTACACACAAGCAAATTCAATCTGGTCCCAAAGAAGATTTAAATACAAAAAGTCTTTCAAAAACTCAATCGACCTTTACAATATACTTCATGAAACATGGAGATCAATCCACGTTTAGAAACTCTACCAAAGTGATATTTCAGGAAAAGTGCTACTACAGTATTGCTGAATATATGGCTGACCCACCCAGGATGTGATTCCTACAACTCAAACACATTACTAACGATAATACATATTATATATTTCTATAATCATTGTTACTAGGGTCCCTTGATGCAAACTGACGTAGTTGTCATCTAGAAGGGTAGGAATAGATCATAGCTCCTTTCTCTTTTAATCATTTAGTGACTTTGGCTTCGTGTATTGGCGTCCCTGACATGACATTGCTGTCACGTCACATTCATAGGCGTGGAAAGAGATCTCACAAAATTGTAATTTTATACTTTATCTTAATAAGACTCTATTCAATTCTGTTTTGGAAGGATGGTATTCGTGGTAAAACAAATAGGAAATCACATATTACACATATGCAAAAATGATTCCCAACATGAATATATGAGCACGTTAGTTTAAATACCTATATACAATTTCTCACCATTTCTCAACCATAAGGCTTAGTCAGAAATCAAAATTCATTTATTGATAGGTACTACCTAAGAACAGTCCCATTTGGTGAAACGTATTAAACTTTCAGAAAAATTTGCTCACTGCCCCACAAAGATTATGCTGGAGTTGAAAAATCAAAAACTCGAAAATTATCATCATCATTTGGATATAATATGTAGAGTTGAATGAGAAATTACATGTGGAAATTACGTATGATACGCCAATGTCCTTAATATAACCTAAAAAACAACAAATGTCAGAGATGAATAAAGATGGAACTATATAACTGTTTCACAAACACTTTAGAGTGAGAGGAGACGAGGATCTGTCCCTACCCTGTTAAGATGACAAATACGTCAATTTACATCAAGGAATCCTAATTATTACTACTGTCTATATTCAAAAGATCATATTGAGAAAATATATTTGTGGGACTTTTCGCATTAATCCAAATTAATAATTGTTTCATGTTCTCGATAACTCGTTTCAGATTATACTTGAGCTTCTCCAATCCAGAAAATCCAGATATAAGCCTTTCTTCTTCAAATATGTTCGGTTTATATTAACCTTAAAATACATACTTTTTCCACCACTAGCTATGGTCATGGCTACTGGATTTTAATTAGAATTGAAATGATGTGCTTTCATAGTGATATAGGTCCATATTCCAGTGTCAAAGAACTATAAAGATATATTGCAAGTGGTGAGAAAAATGAAATAAGTGCACATATTCAGCACATTAATATGATACAGTCTAATGAATATTCCCATGATATCAGATTTTTTTCAATTCTTTTAATTAACGAGGAATTTCATCCCAAAAACTGAACAAAATACGGGGAAAAAATTAAGTACGCCACTTTGAAACAATTCAAATGATTGAACTCCGCGTGATTGTGCCTACCGCATGGAAATTTGACCAGAGGTGACGTCAGATTTGCTACAGTGTAGAACTTTGGATGGAAAAAGGAGTCTAACCTCAAATTTTATTTTGATCCCTAATTTTTTTTATTAGTGCCATTCGATAGTACACGTTGAGCTTTCTCAGTGTTCGAAATATCTGCATTTATTTCAATGCCACCTTGTATATACACCTTGGTACTGAAGAATATTAATACCACGCGACCTTATACCCCTCGGCTGAAGCATCAGGATATAATCTTGGTCCTTGGGTAATAATGATATTCTTTACTACCTTGGTGTTCAAATAACTATTTTAGCAGATTCAAGTGCATTTCGATTCACAAATAATCATTTTCAGGCTGAAAACGCGCATCACCTCACTATCGGGCCTGGAGGGGCTATAGAATGGTCAAGAAGGCTCAAAGAAGAGGCCGACATCCATCGTAGTACTGATTGCATAGCGCCTAAAGTAAGATAACCCTTTTTTATCTCTTGGAGAGCACAAAAGGGAATCCCTATTATGCTAGAGTACACCATTTGTTGATACTCCCAATACTTTCGAAAATTGATTTCTTCCATAAGGTTGATCCATTGTCTAAATCTCGAAAGGTAATCATCGAACTTAATGGTGAAGTTTCCCTCAAACGAATTATTGAGAATTATTGTTATTTTTCAACTATCTAGTATTAGGTTTCTGATTACTAAAATGGCTATCCAAATTATTTTAATTTTCAAAATACAGCAATTTAGAATTATTAATGAAGCAGACTATGCTGTAATACCTAGATCTAGTGACATTTGGGGATATTTGTCCATCATAAATTTCTTCACGTATTTCCTTCACGGCGGTGCCCTAAAATAAGAATATGAAGAAAGCTGTCAGTATGGTCTAACCTCAAAATATTCCTCAAACCTTCGTGCAAGAACTGTCAGATGACCGACTCTGGAGGTGAAACATTGAAACACAACCTCACATTTCTTATTTGTTTACAAATGATTGAAATAGTTTCTCACAATTATCTTGGCATACTTTTTCGGCTATTCATTGATTCGCGCATCCCATCACATGTACAATGCACAAAAAATAAAGCGAGAAACGAAGGAATCCGGTTGGTACATTATGATTCAAATTTAAGTACCTACAATAGTCATTCAGATATAGTTTTCATTTCGAAATTTGGTATTTCTTTTCTGTATTGTACAACAGCACAATGAGAAAGAATGCTTGAATTATTGAATAGCGCAAAAAACAGAAACAGAAAAGGGAGGTTGTGTTTCAATATTTCACCTCCAGGGTCGGTCATCGTGCCCGCGACCTATAAAAATGTAAACCAAATACATCTCCGTATGGTGTAAATCGGGTTTTCAATCACTGTTACCAGACATAAGTATCAATTTCTTGGATATACTAAAATACCTCTTCCTTTCAAGGTGTATATGCGCTTATATTCGCTAGATAGCCTTTGACGATGCGAAGGTGTTGTCGGTTCGAATCCGTCTTGACTGAACATTTTTCTTGAAAATGTGTGATTCATGGTTGTAGTCCTGGCAGCACCTTGGCCTCCTAGAGTTCGTATTCAACTATAAGCTGCAAGTTCCGCTCTTCCTAAACCCGCAGAAGTTTTGACTTCTAGAGAGCTGGTTCCCAATTTCAATGTAGCGATATACACAAAACTACAGAAGAAAAGAGAAATTAAAATTGGAATGAACAACTTCAAAAACGAGCTTTCAGCATCATTGTTATTTTCTGTATACCCATATCAAGGGGTGGTGCGCTGGCCTGCAAGGAGCCTCGATTCTTTCCCGCTGGAATATTTTTTACGGGGATATTTGAAAACCGTTTATTTAAAGATAATCCACGGGACATAAATATTCAATGCCAAAATGTAATGTTCGAAATAACAACCCTACGAGCTACAGGAAGAATGATCCAGCGCGCGCTTTCGGGCAATTTGCGGACACGCATACGGAAATGCCTGAAGGTGCAGAATTTTATTTTGTTCTTTTTAATTCAGGCATAGTTGTTATTAATTGGCTGAGTATTATAGATATTATTTTGCCAGAAGTTCAGTTTCGTAATAATTAGGCCAGTGATGTGTGGTGGTGTGGTGATTAACGTTTCTTCGTTATATTACTGATGAATAATAGTTTTTTGAAAATAGTTTCGGATTGAATATTTTGAAAAAATAAAGAAACCGTCAATTTTTGTCATCCAGCCACCCTGCAATATTGTCGGCATTCTGTTTTATAAAGTCACTCTAGCCTGCATGCATCGCTGTTCCGCAGGACGCGTCCAGCTCCGACTCGGACCTGCTGAAGGGCGGGCCGATGTGGCCGCCCAGACCGAGGTCGCCGCCCCATCCCGTGCCCGCCCGCGCCCGACCTATGGTGCCGGCCGATCCGTCGCTCAGCGACAGCGCCAAGAGCGCGTCGTCCAGCCAGGAGGCTGTCGACGAGGTGGCCAGAGGTGAGAATAGTTATTATTATTATTATTATTAACTAACCCGGCAAACGATGTTTTGCCATAAACACTATTTCGAGAAAATATTTTTTCAGTTGAATATCAACACACTTTTGTCATTTAATTTCCTATTTCCTCTCGGTTTGACTATCCATAAAATCGTGTTCCTCCAGTTTTTAAACTATACTATCAATTTTCTACTTCTTTTCAGTTTGGCCTCGAGTTTGGCAATCTATTGAGGCGTGTTGCATCATAGTTTTTTAAACTAATATTTATTACAAAGCTAGTTCGTCATATTGGATCCGCCATCTTGAATTTCCCAATTTTGAAAAAACAGATCATAATCTCTGGCCCCAAAAACTTCCAGATTCAAATTATAAATTCGTATCATAATCACAAAACTCTGCCGCCATATTGGATCCGTCATCCTTAATTGCCTAATTGTTTCGTTTAAATCTTAATCTCCGACCCTGAAAATCCCAGATACCAATTTTGAATAGAATTGGATCATAATAACAACTTGTTCGCTATATCGGTTCCGCCATCTTAAATTTCTCAATTTTGACGAAAGAATCATAATCTCCTACCACGAAAACACCCATATACTAATTTTGATTAGAATTGGAATGTGTAGTTACAGAACCCGTCCGCCATATTGGATTCGCCATCTTGAATTTCCAAATGTTGAGGCAGCAGTGGAAAAACACGTTTACCAAATATCGAAAAAATATACCAGGTGGTTCGTATGTTATGAGTCTTCAAAGAAATGACTAGAATTGATAAAACATCCTATATCTCGATAATGAAACATGTAAGACCCAAAATATATGGTATATTCAGAACCACCTTGGTCACCTCTATCCACCGTTAAAGTATTTCTGTTTCCCAACGGAACACCCTGTATAGACCTCCCCAGCCTATTATGGACTTGGTTCATTTCAGCTTTGAACCCCTCATATAATGCATGTAATTTTTCAGCTGCCGAAGAACTGGCCGCGAAAAAGACCCGAGTGAAGCAGAGTTTGATGAAGCGCGCGCGGTCCGTGGCTATTTTCTCGCTGAAGCTGAAGGAGCGGCGCGCTAGAGAGGCCCAAGAGAAGGCGGCGAAGACCTCTGTGACCCCGCCGGCCGCCCAACCGCTGCCGCCGCCCCAGCAGGGGGGCGAATTGTCTTGCATCCCCATCGAAATGGTGAGTTTCCGATGAATGGGTCGGACGAATGGGTGCATGCTGATGATGATAAGCTGTTTTCCGTCGACTTCGTACCTCAGACTGTTCGGGAATATTATTTACTAGCTTCTACCCATGGCTTCGCTCGCGTTGAAGCCCTTACATAAACATCAAAGATTATTATACATTCCGATAGAACTGAATTAATAGGATTCAGTATTTCACTCTATCAAAAATAAGTCATTTGTTGCGCCCTGTCTGGCAGTATTGGCAGGCAGTATTGAGGCTATATTCCGAATTCAACTGGTCAGTCAGTACTGTCAGTCAGAAAATCTGTGTTCCGAAATATAAAATCAGAAACACAGTGCTATAATTTGGAACATGGTTTTCATCAGTAATCAGCAGCAGTTAATTAGCTGGTGACATTCGAATATCATTCTCAGCATCAATTCTTTTAATATATTTAACAGGAATTTTCTGATATTAAATATGTTATTATCAATTTGTTAGTGATAAGACTCAATGTTTAAAAAACAACGGAAATGAATGTGACATTCCCGTCCCCTCTAAAATAATAACAGTTCACTGAAGCCACCCTACAGTTTGATAGCAATTTCAGCAGAATGTTCAGTCGAAATATTTGCAATGCATAGTATGTCTGCTTCATTGATGTCTGATTGATGGATATTTTGTGTCAAACAATCATGTCTGCCAAATTTTTTTTCTACTCATATAACTAAAATGGCATTTAGCGTACGGATAAGGATAAGTACCACGCTAAATGATCGATTTATCACGGATTGATGAAATGTGATTTATTCAAAAAATTAAACATGTTACCATGACAACACAATTTCTTATTAAACACATTATCATGGCAACAGAGTTCTTTAAACACACCTTTAGTCGTTTTATTCTTTGGTTTTAGTCCTGTTCGGTCTGTCAATTGTAGGAACTGTCAACTGTAATTTTCAAATTTTGTTGCAATCAGAATTATTCAAACATGATTCAAACAATTTATGTTTTTATCAGAATTCTTCATGAAAAATGTATGCGAAATGTAGACGAAAGTGAAATCGCAGAGGATGTTTTAGGTAGGTATCTCTACTTGCATATTTCCAAGAATGTGGACAATTCATTCTACGCTAAGCATGAAAATAAACTCAAAAGACATTATTCATGTGAGCAAAATTATGCAATCGGAATATGGACACAAACCTGAAAAATCGAAAACTTTGACACCTCAGCGAATGCAAGAATTTTCATCTACTACGTCATATGAAATATTATTCACAAAGGTCAATAGAAAAATCCATTTCAATAGTAATTCATGTAATGGACTGGACGCACATCCAACCAATATAACATATGTGTCTCGGTGGTTGCATGCAGTTGCATAGTATTATGTATTACGTTCTCAATTCCCATTCCCTTGGAATTATTCTGTAGGTTAACAGGTATGTTGATCTAATTTTCGGGATTGGGGGTTCTTGTCGAACTTGTCGACGAGAGAAATTATGAGTTCGTAGAAATATAGTATGTATCGCGTTTATAAACTCTTCTAGGCACTCGTTTATTCACTCTCTCCGCTCTGATACGGTCGTGTTTAAAATACTCGTTACTAAAATGACGTTTATAGAACTTGTTACATAATATACTATTCTGCACCACTAGCAGGACATTTCAATTACTATAAATCTCTGAAACTGAAATATGGGCCTATTGTCACTATGAAAGCACTTTTCTTCAATTCTGATTAAAATCTGGTAGCCATGATCATGACAGCATATGACAAGTCATTATTTATCATTCGAGTACCATTCTTGGGAATCACGCATTAGAACAGTGAATTCGGGTTAATTATATCAGAGGTGGCTATGTCTTCATTGACTAGTGGTTAATAAAATGACGAAAACTACCTTGGTAGCAGAAACAAATTTTACGTCTTGAAAAGGAATAATGGTATAGGTTCTAGAGAGGAAAAACACATTATTCTGTATTGAAACGTCAAAAAAGTTCAGATTTAATTCGCTGGTAGGAACCCAAGAGCAAAAAAATTTTCACTAAAATACATATGTTGCTAATTTTAGTTTATTAATCTCTTGGACGCCCGAAAGGAAATTCCTATACTGTTTGAAGAACATCGTGCGTACCTAGGGAAGATAGGGAGAGGAGGTATATAGGGATTTGTTTTCAACTTTTGGAGCTTCGCCGTTCTATAAACGTAGTGTTGGTGATTTAATTTAAAAACAGAATTTAATTGCATGGTTAAGAATTACCAGTGTGGAATTTTAATATTTTAAATCAATCAGTTGAAGCAGAATACTTTCGTCACTAACGACACATTTTATGTATAACATAAGTTGCCTATAGGTCTATGTTTGAATATCAGTCTAGTATGTATGCAGGATCTCGATATTTAGGGTATGTTTCAGAAAAACCACTCATTCTTTTCAAATACAGACAGTTCATTTTTGGTATTTGATAAAGTAGCAACCCTGTTGGTATTTGAAACCACTAATTTTTGTTTGTTCATACAATTTATTGTGATTTTTACCTGGTGTTATGTTATTTCAGGTAAGGAAATCATAGTGATCCTTGTATTTTGTATCATATTCGATGCATTTGATAACTGTGAAACTTCCAAATTCTTTTTTTTGTTGTTGTTGTTGTTGAGAGTATCATTTTCGGTACCGTGCTTTTTGCTATGGAACACCGAAAATCAATCTATTCTGTACGATAGGGAACTATAGTGTGTTATGTTATTTCAGACGAAGGTGGTACTGTACAATTTCCCGTAAAACTGCAAGTGAATATTAAAAGCCAAGTGTCCGTCACTAATTCCAAATTATTTTTTTAACTCCACTCAACCCCTGATACGTTCCATTTTACAGTGATGGATAGCATATTTTTCGTTTTTACAGCTCATACAACTCGAGGATATCAAGCATCCCCAAAGGCCCAATAATAGTCAAAGTGGCACATTGTAGCATTCTTCGTCGAGGAATTTCTAATTTGTTTCTATGAGAGTTACATCTGAAGAGTATATATTTGTACAGTAAAAATATGAGGCTGAGAGACCTTTCAAATGTAACTTTGGATCGCCTTTATCATTTCATAATGTTCCAATGATTTGTTGAATTGTATAATTTCATTCACAAAGTATACAAGTACTTATAGGTTGTGCCGTATTGAAACTTGTCAAGCCAAAAATCCTGAAAGATGCATGAAAAACTTGATGCAAAAACACGCACCAAAGCGTCTACTTGTTCGGACCCCTCACTAGTACTTAGGGAAATAATTTCACAAGAATATCTAAACTCTAGCAATAAATGTCTGTTTTCAAGCTACACAGTTGTTGACGAAATTATATTGAATAGATAGTCGCATAAGGTTGTTTTAGATTATTTTTTTATAATACATGTAGTCGTGTACGTTGTTGTTGTTGTCACATTAGATTAAGACTGTACAAGGTGTAGTAACCATTATATAGTTTTCAGAAGTTGAAAATTTTGTGTGCGAATTATGCCGCCAGAGGTTTATTTTTATAAAATTGTTTTTTTAGTGTATTGTTTCAGCTCATTGAAATAAAACAGCGAAGTACAACAGTTATTCATAGATCGGCGTGAGCAATAGGAATTGTTCACACTATAATATCATGCTACTCACCGATTATATATTCAGGAACTTAGTCAAACCTGAAATATTTTGGGTGTAATCAGAGAATTTCGTTAGCAGAATTTACATTTCAGGGAATATTCTACATTCTACATTCTATTCTATTCTATTCTATTCTATTTCCATAAAGGAAATAATGATGAATTTCTGGAAAGCGCAATTTAAAATTACATGGGTGTGTTGATCCGAGAAATAATTCGATCCTCAGTAATAAGGTAATGCCATTCTAGAAGAAACTTCCTGTATTAATCCAATACGATCTATCCTATCAATGCCTGTTGAAAAGAAATGTTTGTTCATTTTTTATAATTGTTTAGGTATGAACGTTGCCTCAAAAAGAATTGCAAGACTAGACAAGTTTGGATTGAAACATTGCAATATTGTTTCAGTTGAAAGTTCAAATTTGTAGCATCCCTGTAAAAAGGCATGTCTTTCTCAGTGGCTGGAATGTCCGATATTGTTCCCGCGTGGCGGCACTAGTGTTGTTGGGAGGTCATCTGTCATGTACAGGGTGATCAGTTAAGGGTAGCGAGCGGCCATATCTCATAAGATATTGGTCGTATAGATTTGAGAAAAAAAATCATGATAAAAGTCGCCAAGAGAAATTGCTGGAAATTATTTTCGAGTTTGTCAAACGTCCGCTAGAGGGCGTAACAATCAACACCAAGTAGAAAAATGGAATTTTTATAGAATTTTGTCTCATGGAAGTATATCGATGATATCATTTTCATTTTTACTGACCATTTCCCTACATTTTTTGTTTGAAACGTTTTGTTCTAACTATCAAGATAAAGCGGTGAGGGAAGTTCAATTGTTTTTTCAAACAAACCAAGATTTCTCCCGATTATTTCGACCGATTTTAGCAAACTCAGGCTCATATGAAAGAGCATATTAATTTGCCCTACAAAACGCTTATTCGGTTTTGAATTTTTGACTTTTGCTGTGGCCGCCAGATGGCGCCACTGTTTTTTATCAAAATAAAAATCAGTTTTGTAATCTCTCATTAGTTGCTAACAAAAAGATCCTCATGACTTTTTTTCGTTAGACAAACGGTTTTGGATTGAAAAAATAAAATAGGTTTACATGGGGCGCCCATATCTAAAATAATTTTGAACCAGTATGTAAACCTATATTATTTTTTCAATCCAAAACCGTTTGTCTAACGAAAAAAAGTCAGGAGGTTCTTTTTGTTAGCAACTAATGAGAGATTACAAAACTGATTTTTATTTTGATGAAAAACAGTGGCGTTCCATTTTTTAATGTAATAAAATTATATTATGGTCAATATCAACGGTTCAAAAAAAGGAAGATGATGAATTATTTTCATTAAATTATAGAGAAATTTATCCTCTTCAAAAAAATATAAAAATTTATATACCATTACACTTGTTTTTTTTTTGAAAAAAACTCAAAAATTTGCTAACATTTCAGTTAACGCCATCTAGCGGCGACAGCAAAAGTCAAAAATTCAAAACCAAACAAGCGTTTTGTAGGGCAAATTATGCTCTTTCATATGAGCCTAAGTTTGCTGAAATCGCTCGAAATAAACGGGAGAAATCTTGGTTTGTTTGAAAAAACAATTAAACTTCTCCCACCGCTTCATTTTGATAGCTAGAAAAAAACGTTTTTGACAAAAAATGTAGGGATATGGTCAGTTAATATAAAAATGATATCATCGATATACTTTTATAAGACAAAATTCTATAAAAATTCCATTTTTCTACTTGGTGTTGATTGTTACGCCCTCTAGCGGACGTTTGACCAACTCGAAAATAATTTCCAGCAATTTTTCTTGGCGACTTTTATCATGATTGTTTCTTCTCAAATCTATACGACCAATATCTTATGAGATATGGCTGCTCGCTACCCTTAACTGACCACCCTGTACATCACATGAAATGCATGAAAATTATACAAGGTGTCCGCTAATTAATGGCACACAGCAAAACTGCAGATTCCTTCAATAAAAAGATTCATCCAAACTTACCTCAGTCCAAAAGATGATAATAACAAAGATACAGGTTGTCAAAGTTCCAGTTTGAATTTAGATTTTTTTGAATAATTCATCAACAGGTGACAAAACGCCACTAAATAAGGCGAGACATTCAAATCTGTTCATAGTTTGGATCCTGTAGAATAGTCCTTTCAAAATTCATATCTTAGGATACCAAATCATCAATCCAAGATAGTTTTGATGATAAGATATTGATCCAACATTTATAAAACCTCCTTAATTGTTTTTGGGTGACTCCGAATCTTTCAATATTGACAGATCATATGACCTTCAACATCACCAGTGCCATCTGCTTTGATCATTTCAGGTTACCTGTCATTGGCCAGTTTTTATAAAACTATGAAGGTTAACTAAATCTAAATGTTTGCATTAAGTGTTGAGGCTTGTTGATAATGTATTAAAATAAAACAATAAAATTATAAAAAGGCATTTTATTTATATAAAAAATAATATCAGATGATCGACAGAAAACATACACTGAGAAAAAATATCTCTATCTTGCTTAGATAGCAATTTCAACAATAATATTTCGATTTCTCTACAGACAGTTTTAAATAGTATTTCCGTTGATAAGGAGCATTATACTTATATTTATAATCTTGAACTTCCATTGACTAGTTCCGAAACATTGTGACTTTTTTGCTTCAAATGTTTTCTTCAATGTATTTTTGTGCTTTATCCAAGCTGTCTCTAAGCAGGGGATCCCACTCTTGTACGTGCACTTTTTTTGCTTTCATATTACAGACTAAGGTGCCATCCTGGCCTTTAGGGGGCGCTGCTCTACTGTTGAAAACTGACGCTACAGTTTGCTTCATCCATATTTCCGCATTAAATTTATCAGTCTTTAAATTCTATATAAAAAAACAATTTGCAATTAATTAAAAAGAAAAAATAAGTATAGAAATAATGTGGTTTCACCTTAGGAACACAACATCTAGCCTTCACTGTATTATCAGCATATGATATCACTAAAATTGGGATATCTGGACACAATTTTGTTGCTTTCTGCAGAGGCACTTTTTCCAGCATCATAGAGCTTCTCAAATAATGAATTATGTATTTTTGGTTTGATCCAGTAGTTTTTACTTTTGAGTCTAAAGCATTTTTCATTTCAATTTCAATAAAATCCCTAAAAATTTTTGTATAGTCTGTTGGCATTGGTGGATTCTAAATGTTTACCTCAAGTTTTCTTTCACAGCATCATTGATTTGTTTGGTGATTAATTCAAGTTTTCCAATACATTCTAACTTGACTGATAAGGGTATAACTGAATCATCTTCTATATTGAAATTCAGTTTTTTCTTGATAGTTGATACTATTATTTCCAACATTTCCGGCTAAAAAACGGGACTAATATTTATTACTGTATTATTACTCAAAAGCTTTCACTATTCTATGAAAAAACTCGAAAAGAAATAAATATTTACTTGATAAACAATACCTTATCAATATTATCATTAATATTCATTTTCAGAGAATCTATTTCTTCTGATAATTCCATGCCATATTTTCTGGCCATTTCTGCTCTGTCTCCTGTAACGGCAGTTATAGAGGTAGTACTTCTACCTAAAGATTTCACGTTGACTATACAAAAGTCCTTTATATCCATGGTGTTCTGAACATGGGTACCACAACAAGGTTCTCTAAAAATATTTCAATCATTTTGAATTAATTCCTGGAGAAATATACATTTTATAATATGATAATTTTTTCTAAAGTCCTCAAAGAAACAAGTGTACCACTGAAATATTTGACAATTCTCAAACTGCCATATCTTTTCAGAAAATTAATGGATTTTCAATCGGAATGCAGTGCTTGGAAGATGCGATTTTTCAGTTCAAGATTCCTCGTTCAAAACTTGTCGGGAGTTTTTCTGTCATTATACATCAAGTGTTCGAAGAAAGTATTACAAAATTTTATAGAAACGAGGAGAGAAAACCCCAAAAAATTTGGAATAATGAATGTACCACCTCCTGGATTAACCTACAGACAGTATTTAATATTGTGAAATGTTTACATATATGATGTTTTTGGATTCAAATGTCATTGATATTCAATTTAGAATGGAAAATGTTGTTTGATTTTTCCGTCCTGGACAAAATGCGTTGATGTGGGCAAAATGGAGGAAACAGGCAAAATCATCATACTGTATTACTTGCCATTCATGAAATAAAGGAAATGAAAAAAATTAAAAAAGTACTGTGAAGATTTCTGTTAACCATAAAAAGAATTTTACTGCAAATAAAAAACGACTTGATAGTCAAAATTTTACAAAAATTGTTTCTGCTGATTTCAATAAGTTCAGTATTTCAGCAGATAACTGATCTTTTCAAAAATATCCACTGGTGTTTTACTCATTTCTAAAAATATTTGGCACATAATATCACTTTTGTATTGCCTTAGATATGATATGACTATTTAAGTAAAACTGAAAAACAAACCTAGATAAAAATTCATCAACTTTGACTTCAACAATCCTGATGCCATTATCAGGATATATTTCACCAGGAATCAAAGTCAAGTCATCAAATTCTAAAAGCTGCTGGCTATTTACTTCACTAATATTTACTGGCTTTTCTTTTTTCACAATATCTAATATCATTTTTTCAATAGCATCAGTTTCTTCTATTGACAGCTTATCTCCAAATATTGCCACATCAAAATTCAAGTACTTGTCTGTCACTTTGCTAGATTTCTGGCAAGTAGCGCCCTTAATTCTCTTCAAAGCTGCATTTAATAAATGGGTGCTAGTGTGGTTTCTCATACAACTTAGTCTGAACTCATCATCTAAGTATATTTTTCCAGCAGTATTTTTCAAAAGAGTATTTCCACTGGATTTGAAAAATCCTTTGTGCAAGATGTAACCATTTAAATTTTCAACAGAAGTGACCTCAAAACTATCTGGCCCAAATATTATTATTCCTTTATCTCCAACTTGGCCACCTGCTTCTGAATAAAAGTTGGTTTTATCCAGTACTAAGGTACAGTAGTGGTCCTGTTTTATTTGGTCAACTGATTCTTTTCCTTTGAATATTTTCAATACTTTTGTTTCTATACCTTCAAACAAATATTTACCCCCATTTTGTGAATATGAATATTTGAAATTGTCTTTGGTTTTTGGGATGCCTTCATTCACTAAATCAAAGTACATAGTGTTATTGGAACAGATAATGCTCTCCCTAGTCCTCAATTTTGCTTTTTCCAATTCATCTGTTAGTTCCTGTGGATTGAATTTTAGGTCTAGAGCACTAGATATCTTTGCAATCCCTTCTTCATCAATACCAAAAGTGTCATAAAGTTTGAAAGCCAGTTTTGATGTTATTTCAGCTGGAGGAGCACTACTTATTTGCTTATAAGCTGCTATGAAACTAGGGGTCTCAATGACATCAACTTCCAGTAATTTTGGATTCTCCTTTGTGAGAATTTCCCAATCTTTGGAAGCAGCTAGTTGAAGAGACTTATATATTTCTTCTTCATAATCAATTATTTGATGGACCTGAAAATATCACATTGACCATTGACTTGATTGGAAGTTGAAGAGCCACTCCTACCTTTGATATATTTTTCTCCAATTCTGGATAAACAGGGCCTAAGTTTTCCACTACATAATTCGAAAGCTCTCTGAGAAGTCCTTCCTTTTTGAACACAGTTTCACTAATCAGGAATACTTTTCTCAATACCCTTCTCAGTTTTTGACTAAAAATATGTTATAGTAAGAAAAGAAATGAAATGATAACAAAATTATCTTTCAAAACTTTGAATTGTCTTTGAATTACACCCATATAAATATTGGAATATGGTATCAAATTCTCTAAATACCATGTTTCAATCAAGGAACCAATGAGTAAATATTAAGAATACAAAAGTGAAATGAACAACAAAGCAACAATTGCAAATATCATCCTTTCATAGGGCACATATTAAAATTAACTATGCTTAAAAGATTCTATAAACAATAAATTGAATATACAATGGACTGGGACAACCTGTATATGAAAATGAAATTGTCTCACTTCTCTTCAGGTATTATCCCATCTGCCAAACAAACTGATACCATTCTAGAATGATCTGCCAGTGTTCTGTAAGACTTATCCAAATTATTCCAATCATTTTCACCAAATTTCCCTTGGTACACTGGCAAATTCCTACAATTCTAATATTTATTTTCAATACCATTTTGACTGAAAATCAAGATTATTCAGATATATTACCTTATGTATTGCTTTCAGAAGGTAGCTGAAGTTATCTGTGTCATAATTACTTATTTTGCCCTGTAGGATTGAAGTCAGTCTTTCAAACCCCATTCCTGTATCAACATGTAAGTGAGGAAGTGTTACAATCTTCCCATTGTTAAGCCTATTGTACTCTATGAAAACTATATTCCATATTTCAGTGAGGTCATGTAAACCCTTATTCACAAATTCAGCTCTGTTAGTGGTTCCTAAGTGATCATAATGTATTTCTGTGCATGGCCCACAAGGTCCTGTGAGTCCCATTTCCCAGAAATTATCTGTTGAACCAAAAGGCAAGATTTTGTCATCTGAAATGCTGAAAATGAAAAATTAATTTTCTTCATGTCAATGTGGTTTATGTCCTACCCTAGTTGTTTCCAAATTTCTTTAGTTTCCAAATCTTCTGGAACACCTAACTTACTATCACCCTTGAAATAGGTGACATACAGTTTATTTTTAGGTAATTTGTATACATTAATGAGTAGATCCCATGCTAGTTTACAAGCATCTGCCTGGAAATGAATATTTTGATTAACTTGGTTCTAAAACATAACATTTTTTACCTTAAAATAGTCTCCAAAGGACCAATTACCCAACATTTCAAAGAAGGTGTGGTGATATCCATCACTTCCCACAGCTCTCAAGTCATTATGCTTACCACCAACTCTAACACATTTCTGACTGTTAGAAACTCGTTTGTATTTTGGTTTTTGGGTACCCAGGAATATACCTTTGAACTATATTTACTCATTGCATAATTAACTACTTTAAGTAAATTATGATTTACCTGATTCATCCCAGCGTTAACGAAGGCGACAGTGGGATCACAGTATGGAACCACAGGGCTTGATTTGATGAATTTATGATTATTTTCATTTATGAAGTATTCCAAAAACTTTTGTCTTATTGCTTTTGCACTGATATCCCTGTTGAGATATTTGCTTAGATTTCTGGTGAATGGCATAGTCTGTAAATGTAATGTAATCAGTTTTTTATACGGAATTAAGATTATTTGAACCATTTCACTGAAAATTTTGAATAGTGTCACAAAAAAATTCAAAAAGTTACATCATAACCTCATTCGGCTTTTTCCAAGTGAATATTACTTTCACTTAGAACCCTTAAGACGTAGGTTTCATTATAACTTATCTCTGATAATATGAAATAACTATAAGAGGGTACGAATATGAATATTCTTGGTAGCTAAGGACTGTGACTAATAAGATAAGACGACAATTTTTAGGTTATGTACGGACTGTGTCACTGGCATTTTGTATTTGTTTTGAAATTTTGACTTGATTCTAAAGGACTCTTGATGGAACTGTGGATGTGATACTAATTTGGATACTCAGAGTTCCATTGATATTATAATGAAAAATTTATGAAAATGACCGATAAAAAAGTTCTTCAGGAATACACCCTCGACCAAGACCAAGAACTCCGGTTTGAGGTAGAATCTAAGACTGATAAAGTATATTTAACTTTGAAAAGTGGAATAGCTGAAGTATTTGGTACTGAAATAGTGAAAGGAAAAACTTATGAGTTCACTGCAGGTGCCAAAATCGCTGTATATACATGGCATGGATGTGTTCTTGAAGTGAAAGGTAAAACTGATGTTATTTACACAGCTAAAGAAACTCCAATGGTCATCTATTCAAATTGTCATGGGGCACTGGAATTCATGAGAATTGAAGCTGAAAAAGACAATAAAAGGGGGCCCATAGCTATGCTTGTGGGGCCTACAGATGTTGGGAAGTCAACAATCAGTAGAATACTCTTGAATTATGCTGTGCGAATGGGTAGGCGCCCGATTTTTGTAGATCTGGATGTAGGACAAGGACAAGTTTCAATACCAGGCACTGTAGGAGCTCTAATGATTGAGCGACCTGCTGCAATAGATGAAGGTTTCTCTCAGGAAGCTCCACTTGTGTATAATTTTGGACATAAAACTCCTCATGCAAACAGTACTTTATTTCATATCCTAGTGGAACAGCTTGCTACTACAGTGAAAGAACGTTTGGAAGTCAATAAGAGAAGTAATTATACAAATTATTTCATACCACTATTTCACAGTATTTTTCCTTTCTAGCTAGAGCATCAGGAGTCATTATCAATACCTGTGGCTGGACTAAAGCTGAAGGATATAAACAACTATTAGGCTCAGCAAAGGCTTTTGAAGTGGATGTGATAATGGTTCTAGATCAAGAGAGGCTCTATAATGAATTAGTCAGAGATCTGCCAAATTTTGTTAAAGTTGTATTCTTACCTAAAAGTGGTGGTGTAGTAGAAAGATCAAAAAGCATAAGATCAGAAGCAAGGGACCAAAGGATAAGGGAATACTTCTATGGCACTGTGAGAAACTCTTTGTATCCCCATTCATTTGATGTGAAATTCTCTGAAGTGAAAATATGCAAAATTGGGGCTCCAGCATTACCTGATTCTTGTTTACCTCTTGGTATGAAGGCAGATGATCATATGACTAAGCTGGTTGTACTCACACCTAATGCTGGGCTTCTGCATCACATTCTAGCTGTTAGTTTTTCAGAAAAAGAGGAAGAGGTGATCACATCTCATGTTGCTGGCTTTGTTTGTGTGTAAGTAAAATGAAATGAATAAGGAATTTTATTTGTCAGATATTTTTTAGGACAAATGTGGATGCAGAAAGACAAATACTGACCATCTTATCACCTCAGCCCAAGCCATTACCTAATAATATCTTGGTTCTTTCTGAACTTCAGTTTATGGATACACACTGAAATTTGTTTGACTATTCCCAATATATTCTTGATAATGAAATATTACTTTCCTCATTTTTTCATGTATATAAACCTTCCTATCTACTTATTCAATCAAATTGAAAAACAGATTGATAATATGTTATTTTAATGAAAAAATTATAAAAAAGCATTAATTTCTGATGATAATTGTTATTGGAGTAGTTCTGAGATAATAAATCAATCCAAGGTAAATATTCTTGCAGATATATCACTTATCAGCCAATCTATTCCACTGAGTAGATTATCTCCAGTAACAGCACTGCACCAAACAATTTTCCAGTGATGAGTTTTGATTTTATCCAATTCCAAAATCTATGAAATGAAAATATAGAATTGTATACCTAAGAATAAATACTATACTCACTTCTTGAAGCTCCTCCATTGAACAAGCTCCTGGTAAATCCTGCTTGTTTGCAAATATCAACAAAGTAGCACCTACCAACCTCTGAAATCAAAGTTATGCATAAGAACATTCAAACAAAGGAATTGTTGTTTGTAACTTTACTTCCTCTTTTAACAATGCATGTAGCTCTGCTCTACAATCATCTAATCTTCTCTTATCAGCACTATCTACTACCCAAATGAGACCATCAGTGCATTCAAAATAGTTTCTCCAGTATGATCTCAAAGACTTCTGACCACCTACATCCCACATATTCAATTTGAATCTACAAGAAAAGTAATTAGATAAACACATGTGGATAATTTTGAAAGTAGTAGGTACCCTCTGTGTTCCAAAGTTTTGATATTGAATCCCAATGTGGGGGAAATTGTGTTGATAGGTTCTCCATTGAATCTCTTGAGGATTGTCGTTTTTCCAGCATTATCTAAGCCTCTGAATTTCCCTGTTAAAGATTAATATTTCAAGACTTTTGAGCAATATACCAATATTTTTTTGTATTAAGGATACAGCATGAGAATTCTCATTTCTTTTTCTTTCTGTTTCATTTTCTTGAGAACCGTTAGAAATCCCATTTTGGCTGGAAATAGGAAGAATGAATAATTATGTTATCGTATCTTGACTGTGCGATTTATAGGTGTGCTTTCAGAGGTTTTTATTTTGAAAAATTTTCATGTTTTTCGAAAATGTCATAAGATATTTTCATTAATTTTCAATCATTTTCGAAATCTGTCAGAAAGGTTTTAGAGCTGTCAAGTTTGAGAAATTACTCTTTTTTTAAGTGCCAGTGTCAACTATGTGTTATTGCTTGCTAGTTCCACACACCACACCGTCACACCAAGTTTGGCTGTATGCTGTATGTCTTATGGAAACATGAGAGGAAGAGAAACGGAAGTGCTTGAAATTAGAGTATTTAACCATGAAATGAAATATGAATAAATGACAACTATTTTTCAAAATTTTGAATATTGACTTTGTAGTCAAATTAAAATGTATTGAAAATAAAGTATTTCGCCAGTTTTATATAATATAGATTGACCACGTTGAGAAAGATGGGACTGCTAACGGATCCCAGTACTGGCCAAGGAAAATTCGTGAAACTCTTATTGAAGTACTATAACAAACTTTGCATTCTCTTGTACCTATCTGGAATAATATGGTTCTGTGCGTTAGCTTATCCTACAATGAATGCTAGCACATACTTTTCCGAAAATGCTTTACTACCTGGTCTAGTCAAATCACAATTCAGAGAAGATAAGGAAGCAATGAGGTACCATGAAGAATTGATGGATGAAATTAAGAAATATGGTGATTCCTTACCATATCCTTACTTGCTAGCAAAGTTCAGACAGATTGGCGTGGATACATACACCCATAATTTTACACTTAACTCTCCTCTAAATAAAAAAGAGGTGAGTTCAATTTACAATTAAATCTGATGCAGATTATTCAAGATTTTATTTCAATTGTAGAAATATGAAGGCAAGAATTTGTATGGCATTTTGAGAGCAGCAAGAGGATCTAGCACTGAAGCATTGGTACTCAGTGTACCATACAGACCACCTGATAGTGTACACCCTCCTACAGCTCCTTCAGTTGCTATTATGTTGGCTTTTGCCAAGTATGCAAATAGTAAGGTAGATTTACAAGCAATATGAACCAATGTGTAATACACTTTATTGTTCAGGAGAGAAGTATTGGGCTAAAGACATAATATTCTTGATAACTGAACACGAGCAGTTAGGAATTCAAGCATGGCTTGAAGCTTACCATGGTGTTACTTGTGGTAATGATCATGTATTGGAGCACGGTGACTTGAAAGGAAGAGCAGGTGCAATACAGGCTGCAATCAATTTAGAGTTACACAGTAATATATTAGGTAACTATGTTAGTCTTCAGGTCTATTGAGGAATTTACAGGAAACAATATCACAATACTGACTCATTGTAGAAGAATCCCAGAAATGGTGAATTATATATTAAAGTTTGTATTTTTCATAAATTGCTTTAGGTACAATGGACATAAAAATTGAGGGTCTCAATGGCCAGCTGCCTAATTTGGATCTTTTCAACTTGGCATCAAAAATGTGTGCCAAAGAAGGTCTGCATCATACTTTCAAAAACAAGGCTGCAAAATACTACAAAGATCCTATCAAGGAATGGCAAAATAATTTTAAGAACCTTTTGGCAATGATGGCAACACAAGCTACTGGGGTAAGTAAATATTTGGTCTCTCTATACATAATAAACATATAGGCATATGGCCAAATTAAAAATTACCTTTGAGCTCTTGAAAGATAGTTACCTACTTTAGTTTTTTGTCAACACTTCAAGACAATCTGATGCTTTGTTGAGATCTTATTTTCAATCTGTTCAAAACACTTTAGGTGCCATATGGTGTCATAAAGATTTTTTCAAAAGTAATTTATAAATATTGAGAGTATACTGAGACAAACATCAGACCCAGCATTGAAATATTGATTGTTCAATTTGTTAAAAACCAGTTCAATAATCAAATATTGAGAATGAAAAAACCTTCAACCCTAATGAGCAGTAAATAAAGGGTTAGTGAAAATCATATTATTTATAGATCATTCAAATAATTCAAGATATTTTTTCACATTTTCATAAGAAAAGATAAGATCTAGGCATCTTTAGAAATTATTTCCCAGTTTATTTTTTTCTTCATAAAGGTCTATAAATTTTACTATATTCACTATATTTTCTTCCACTGTTTTTTGAAAAAGTACAGAAATCTCCACAGAAGTACTTCAAATATATCCTCAACTATGTGAAAAAATTGTCAACATTCTCCCAAAATTTTGCAATTTTATAATTTTTGCTGAATCCCTGCAATTTTGTACTGGGTGACATATTTTTGACAGTAGAAAAAAAGCTTCACAGGGGATTTTTTTTCTTCAATCAACAGAATAGATACATTTTCACTATCAGTAAAAATATACAGGAAGCAGCAAAAAGTGTATGACTTTCAATTGGAATACTATATATTTCCTCACCATTTGAAAGGACTATTTGAAGAGCATTTCAAAAATACTGTGCTCTAAATAATTATCTTCTTGTATTTCTCCAAATATGGACTTCCAAAACTAACACAGTTTGATCAATTTTGAATGATTTTGGAAAGCAGGCCAAAAAGGACTAGAAAAATCTCATTTTGCAAAAGAACTAAAAAATTAACCCTTTGGTGGTGTTGGTAGGGTGTTCAGGGGGCTGGTATGGGTAGTGGATAGAGGGAAGGTCTCATCAGATGATCACAAACAGATAAGTAAAATCATTCCTGCCTGTTCCAAGTTTCCAGCGAATTTTTTTCAACTATGACTTTCATAATAAAAAAAAATTGGCAACACTGTTCAAAGTTGAGCAGTAATATCGCGGCATTATGCTAATGAAATGATTGCTAAACATAAACTCTATGTATATTGACTGGATCATGTGTTTTGATTTGAAGCTTTTTTCTGTCATATCCTTGCTCATAGTTTCAGAAATAATATTCCTAAAACAATATTTGAATGCCACTTATTTTTAATCGACTAGTGTATAACCATACTCAACAACTAGGCATGATACGATGTATCAAAATGAAATCAGCTGTGGATTTTAAGGGGTAATTCCAAAATATGAAATTTTCTTCCAATTGGCCCCCCAGTTCCAATAATATCTATTCTACAGTAATTTATGAAAAGTGACATTTTATAATCTGTCAACAAAGATGAAATTTCAAATTCTTTTCCCGTCACAGTAAAAAAAGACTAACAGGGGGTGGTACTTTATAACATATCATCCAGTACACTAATTCAAGGGCACTTGTAGATTCCAAATGGCAATCATGGTCTATTCCACCGTTTCGGAATTCAAGCCCTGACTTTGGAAGGTTTTGAAAATTACAAAGGAAAGGGAAGCAGTAAAGTTGGATTTGTAGGCATTGGAAGAATTTTAGAGGGCACTTTTCGAAGTTTGAATAACCTGCTTGAAAGATTCCACCAAAGCTTCTTCTTTTACTTGCTACCATCATCTGAAAGATACATTTCAATAGGTTTGTTGTATAATATAAACTTTTTTGATGATATTGTGAAATTGATTTTGTTTTAAGGATTGTATATACCCTCAGTATGTCTTATTGCTGGAGCTCTCTTTGTCAAAGCTTGTGCCAAATGGTTGAAACTACAATCCAAAGCAGAAGATTCATCAGGTATTGTGACGTTGATTTTTCGGTGATAATTGATTAATTTTGATTATTTTCAGAAGAAGTATCAGATTCCTCTACAAGCTTTGATAAAATAATAATTGTATTCTTAACCACACACCTTCTGGGAGTGTTGATGTCCATCATTCCCCACTACATGCCTCTCCTAGCAGATATGTACAACCTCAATTCTAATACTTGCATTTTCAATGGACAGCTTGCCTTTGCTGGCTTGCTACTGTTTACGCCCATTTTCATTTCGTTCAGACAATGCAAGAAAGGAATGGAGTTGTTGGATATGCTGGCTATGTTAGAGCTTGGAACCGTTTTGATATGCATTTCCATGAATAACTTTTCATTGGGACTTTTTTGTGCGATCGTCAGCGTTCCCTTGGCCCTATGTATTGGTCCAACATCTTGCAGGTAAATTTTGATTTTGGCACAAAAAGTTTTCCAAAATTATGTCAAGAATTGTTTGTCATTTCCCTTCATAAACGATTGTGGTATCTGCAATTTTATATATGGTATGCTTCCCCAGGGCAAGGGGCCCTTTATTCAATGAGAACCCGTTTGTAACATTTATTTATTCAAACATGAATTTTTTGACTTTGGGCATCGGCAGGCAGAACCAGTAGTTAGCAGTGGCGGCTCCTCAGAGGAGGCAACGGAGGCTGAGCCTCCTCAGAGATTCTCCTCAAACTGATATTATCTATACTTTCTCATCAAGAGGACACCAAAATATATGGATTTTGATTTTATTTCCTGTTTTTAGGTAAATATTTTTGAATGGGCAACAGTGCTTGCCCACGCATCACACGTGAAGTCTGCAAATCACGCGTAAAATATTCAACTTGGCAACATCTATATAGGAGGCTAGACTCCTTCACAATGCGCAACCCACGCGCGTAATGCAAATGCCCGAATACGTCCAATCCAGTGCGAGTGCATTGTTTATGTTTATGTTAGGGTAATGGTTTGGGGCTCTATAAATTCCTGAAAAATGAGTGTTTAAAACGACTGCGATTTAGTGGAATACTTTTTGGTGAACCCATTCAGTGCTTTGTCTTATGATGATGAATTGATTGTGAAAAACAAACGTCCGACACCGGAATTAAAAAATCTGATTGTAAACAGGTAACAAACAAAATCGTTCGTTCAATTCTGATAATTATAAAAAATATATCTGGTTGACGGGAGCTGAGGTAAGGAATAAGCTATTTCGTTGGTACTGCGTATTATTTTGAACCGATAAGTCATCATGTTGGGGGCGATTAGGATATAATGATTTGAAAAATTTGCCTCGCGAATTGGATAGACACTGCAAATCACAGGAACACATCTCTTCAAGTATCAAGTTCAAGTTAACTGGTAAACAGGATGTCATTAAAGCTATTGATTTGGGTGAGTCGTAGAGAGTTGTTTTTCACAATAAATCTCATATCATCCAGCCTCCTCTGTCATGAAAGTCACGAGCCGCCACTGGTAGTTAGTAATTTTAATTTTTCAATTCCAAAACTTCTATTAGTCAGAAGATGTTGTTTTTCGAGATCCAAATATGTCCCTGAGTTTATAACAACATTATTAAATATTTGTGGAGTCAACTTTGAGCATTCCTTCCTCCTTTTGAAAGACGGTATTCGCGATAGAAAATAACACGTTGCCCCACCGCAGCAACTTGAACACTTCTGAGCGGTGTGAACCAATGAAAACAAAGTAAACATGCCGCTTTCAAGAACTCTGATAGGTGGCGTACGCTTACTTTCTAGCGCGAATAGTTTCAACTTTAACCAACAGGTAGCGGCTCGTTGCTTCTCTTTCGTTTGTCGGATCCATTAATCATTCCAGAATTACGTCATTTGACAGGTTGCTGAGGGGCAAACATCATATTTTGTCAAAATTTGTCATATAAAACCAGAATTAGTGGGATCGTTTTCCTAGAAATCCGAGTTGGAACCAGAAAGAATTTCATAATTTTGTTTGGTGAAACTGTTAATATATTGTGGACGTTGCAGGGACGGCCAGGGCTATGCTTATCAAAGGTAACCTAACAGATAGTTTGTGTGCCCCTCAAGGAACCATGTCAAAATCACGTGTTCTAGAATGATCAATTGGTTGTTGTTAGTCAAATAAACATATAACTACTACTTATATATGAAGCAAAGCTCTCCTCAAAGTAGGACCAACTTCTGTCTCTTTAGGTAACGAAATCGACCAATCGGCGTTGATGCCGACGTAGGGAAAAAATATTACGAAACTTGTCAAACCAATATGGCTGTTTCCATCCTTCACTTTCCGTCCTTATAGATTCAAAAAGTACCTCTCATTTTGGTCCCATTTTCGTTCAGATATCATATAGGTAGGCGATGCGCCATACATAGAAATAGTAGATAAATGCAAATAAACAACAAAAATAGTTCTTTTTTGCTCTAATACACTTATGAAAATAACTTACATCACGTTTACAATTATTACCCAACCGTCAGTTGATTTTGTTCCGCGTGGTTCCGCCTTATGTTTCACTTTTATGTTGTCATCAATCCTCTTTCATTGTTTCGGCACATGGTGTTGAAGGAAACCTTATTTTTCAAATTGTTAATTGTTAAACTATTCGACAATGAAAATAGGTAGCGGGACCACTGCATGTATAGTATAGTTTCGTTGCAGTTTTCAAATAAGTGCATTTTTTTCAGATCCTGTTCATATTTCCAGAAAGTTTTCTGGTTGTTCGTTCATCCGGTGGCCATACTGATATCAGTAGTATTAGTCAATACATACCTGATGTTTCCTGAGGAAAGTCTCAAGGAAATTTTTCACCGAGGATGGGACGCCACTCACCAGTCCGTCATTTATAGCATTGTTGATTCCATGATTTATGGGAACTGGTTGTACAGCGTAATGACGTGCATTTTTGTACCGAACTGGCTGTGTTTTTGGATCGTCGCATTCAGTTATGTGGACCTTCACCAGCCCGAGTTCGCCAAAGAGAAAAAAGACTAATTTTAGTTTGTATGGAAAAGTAATAGAGGTCAATAAATCATAATTATGATATATCCTCATTGAATAAGTATGTTCCAGTAAGTTAATAAAAAAATTAATAGAGTTGCTGAAAGCTACATCGGCCTGAAACTTTCAGGCCTGGATTTTGCAGCCCCCTAGTACAAATGTTTGGTTATAGGTTCTACTTTTTCCAAATAATCCATTATTTTATGTTCACCCAAAGTCATTGTCAATTTTGATTATCAGTAGGAAAGTTGAGTAACAAACATTTTCTGCCTGTTGAGTGTCATTGAAAAGCCACTTTCAATGTAATTTGGAGAAAAATATCTATTTCTTTGAGTGCAGACAATGGGAATAGCCAATCTGAAGAAGAATGATTCATTAAATGGCATGCTTTCGAAATATATAACATTTTCGGTATATAAATTATGAATCAATATGTTGAGAATTCTACTAAACAATAAGAAACGTTTTATATGACTTGCGTGGTGGGGACTTCGCCTAATCCTATGTCAGTCATATCGATGTTGCCGGATTGTGATGATTCTCTTTCTTGAGTTAACTTGAGGAAGAAAGTACTGCAATGATCTTCAACTACTGATAGGATAACCCGAAGAGGAGAAACTAGCATTTTCATGAATTCACATGGAAGTGAAAAGAGACTATTTTTTAGAACAACACGATCTAACTCAGCCAAAACAAACCTTTACTCGTGAAAATAATTTTGTCAAAACTTTTTCTCATCAGTAAATGCCTTCACAGTACTCTTTTCAGGGAGGAAGAAATATATTCCTCCTGCATAAAAAAGGACACTACTTTTTTTAAATCACCTAACCTTACTCCACCTAAATGACTAAATGAGCCTTCTTCCTAAAAAGATTATATTTTTCGGAGAATCACTTGAGAAAAGAGAACTACACTACACTGTTTTACCACTAACCAAACCGATTTTTTAACGCCTCGACACGTGTTTCGCTAACTATGTTAGCATCTTCAGGAGAAGATTGAAACTCAAGTTTTTATCTTCTCCTGACATAGTTAGCGAAACACGTGTCGAGGCGTTAAAAAATCGGTTTCGTTAGTGGTAAAACAGTGTAGTGTATTATCGTGCCAAAGGTTCCAGTCTTCGATATATAAAAGAGAATTAATAAAAAAAGCCGACTGTCGCAGGCATTGAACCCGGGTCGCCGACGTGAGATTCAAACACAAAGTCAACTACGCCACGAGTGGTAGTAGATGTTGTATTATGACGACGAATTTAGTCGCTGTACACGCACTTATTGCCGCGATGATTATATTTGTTATAGGCCTCCTGTCTCTAGGCGCTAGTATTCAAACGAAGAAGTTATTCGCGATAGAAAATAACACGTTGCCCACCTGACGGCAACAATTTGAACACTTCTGATGATATGACCAATAAGAACTAACAAAAAACGAATGTGAACCAATGAGAATAAAGTAAACATGCCGCATTGACAGCTTTCAAGGACTTCGATAGGTGGCGTACGCTTATTTTCTCAAACGCTACTCTTAATTAACATGAACACTGACATTAGTAAAATGATTTATACAGAGGGTTGTAGCTGCAGCGTATTTATCTAATTGATTTTATCTCTATAATATATAGAAAATTTGCCGCCCCCTGAGATTAGCTGTTTCAAGCGACTGCTTAACGCGCTTATATATTGAAGGGTGATCCGGGGCTGGAAACTTTGTTGCACAATTTCGAATAAAAATCAATTTGTACATGGAATTATCTGATAACATAAATCATTGTTCCATAATCTTAAGAAAATATATTTTATACCCCTTTCTGATTCAAGTGATTAGTGATTCAGAATAAACCGCACACCATTACATAAAAAAGATGAAGTAATCAAAATATCAAATCAATTATTCAATTGTTTTTTGGCATGCGTTATTTCTATGTGCAGATTGATTTTAGTTTAGAATTTAGCATTTTATCGAAGTCAAAACTACCTTTATAAAAAAATTCCCAATTTTGAATATCTGGTGAAATTGCAAACATGATTGTGCATTGTGCTAACAAAAAAAGTTTTAGTGATTAGGTAGTACACTGAGCTGACCCTGTCCTGCATGGAAATTTCTAATTTCGTTTATATTTATGAATTCAACGGAAAAGTGAAGTCAACGTACAAATACTTCATGATTTCCTTATTAATCGTTTCGGAAATAATGATGAAAAATCATATTCAGGAAAGACTTATGGCCCTGAATCACCCTGTATAGCTAGACCTGCAAATATTTGCTTTGAAGAATTGACACTTTTTCAAATTGATATTACATTCAAGAATATTATTGCTATTATTGCTATTTCAATTGATTGAAAATGGTGAATTTTTTACGAGATTTTTCATATTTTGAATCACATAATCATGGTTTCTGTGACATTTATAGCACTGTTTACCATGAGAAGTAAGAAGTTGAAAAACTTTGGTTAGAAAATAATGACATTAATAAATAACCTACAAACTAGTACAAACCATAGAGAAACGAAACAAATTATTAAAAATTAGTGAAAAGGTCAATCCAGAATCCAGATCAGATAAACATGGACAAAATAAATTTGAATCCGTAAGTTTTTCATGAAATTTGTTTGTGTGATTCGGTTATGTAATTGCAACTTTTTAATGCAAAGTATTTTCAACTCTTTATTAATGAAAGAAATAAGGCCTAGACTTATTTTGATCAAAATAAGGAAAGTATACTTGCACTATCAAACTTTCACCTTAGACAAAAGACATTCAAGCAATTCGAAATCTACAACAGAGGAATCTGGGAAAAATTCCAAAGAACCATATCCTGAGGAACCAACAAACTGCTGCATGTCTGGTTGTGCCAACTGTGTTTGGTTGGAATATGCTGAAAAACTCAGCCAATATTTCAGAGATGGTGGTCAAAATGCTCTTAAAGAAATCAATGACAAAGTGACAGATCCAAATATGAAGGCATTCTTACTACATGAACTTAGGATGAGAAACATCAAGTCAAAGTAATTTTATGTTGACAACACACCAATGTATAAATGGGTAAAATATGAATATATATGTGGTAGAAGATTTGATTGAACTTATAATAAAACATGAATTTCATTTGATTGTTTAATTATTCATAGACCTATTAATACTGATTTGGCCCAACATACTTGGGACTTTGGGAATATCTGGAAGATTGAGAATACCTGGTTGTATTCTGAGAATACCTAGAAGTATTCCGAGAATAATTCGAGTAATCAGGCACATCATCATCATAATCATCATCATCTTGATAATAGCTGGCACTTTGTTCAATTTCTACCTTATGTTTATGGATGAATTTCAATACCAACAATACTGCTAGAACAAGTAGCATAAAAGCTGTTAGGAATGCAAAAACTATGAAGATAGAGCTCAAAGTAGAGATGTATGCAACCCTACTTGAACAGTTATTTTTGCTTGCCATCTCAATCATGCATTTATCAACATCATCATCACAGCAGCTGTCAATCAGTTGTCCATCAAAATAAGCTTTTTTCACAGCTGCATCAAACTTTGAGTTATATCCACAACACTGTAGTTCCCTTTGAAATACATCTATCAAATCATATGTCCTTTTGTCATATTATGCCTCTTTCATATGAGTGTGTGCTTTTTGTAGCACTCCCTTCTTTCCAAAAAGATCCAGGATTGCATGTACCACACATATGATGATGAGCCCAATGACAGCTAAAAAGTGCAGCCACTCCAGCAGCTTGCTGGCAAATATGATCACAAATGAGCCCAGTAAGCAGGTGAGTAGGGCGATCAATCCAAGGGTCAAGCACCAGTCCTTTGTGCTTTTCAAGACCTCTTCCACAAAGCTGGATCTCCAGCCACAAGCTCCAATGACTATCAGCCCTATTGCAGAAAGCAGACAAAGCACATTCACTGTGAGTAGTCCGACTTTTAAGGGTGAGATCATCTTTCAGTTTATTACATCAATAATCTTGTTTTGTTTTTCACATCTTGATTTTGTCATGATGACATTCAATGGAATATACAGTGTCTCCACATCTCCACCACCTTTTTTTTATAGGAAATGCACATAAAAGACAAGATACAGATATGTTTAAAATGGATCCTCAATAAAAATACGTCATTAGTTCTTCCAATAAGAAACCGTTTATTGATGTATTGAGTATTCAATACTATGTATTCATTGACGTTCTATGATCTTTTGAGTAATATACAGGGTGCCCGTTTCAAGAAAAAGTTCGAAATTTCGCCTTATTCTTTCTCCCCTTGTGTTGAAGCTCTTATTTTGTCATTGGACACTTTATATACTCATGATGTACTTCTATGGCACATTTTTATATAGAAAATTGAACAGGAAATATGATTTTTATGGCGAGTTTCTCATATTTAGTGAACTAGCATTCCAGATGACGACCATTTAATCAATAGTCAATCAAAATACGAGATGTCAAATGTCAATAGATTGCTTTCCAATGACATTACACACGCCATTATTTTGAATGATATTCTTCCTTCTTTTCACTAAATATGGATTAATCTCCAGAAAATCATATTTATAGTTGAATTATCTATAAATTGTCCAATTTGATGAAAAAAGAAGGGACATTTGTTCTAAATGCCATCCAGAAGACAGGTGAAAAAGAAGGTGAAATTTGGAACTTTTCAGTCAAATATCTTCATGATAAATATCATGATAAATGCAGTTTTACCTTTTTTGAGTAGAGTGTTTGTAGTTCATGTTAATATGATAGTTGCAATTTGATCATTGGAATGAATTCTGCATTCATATTGCCACGAGGCAAATGACCGTTTTCAGAAAGAAATTTGAGAATGAGAATTAAAAATGCCCGTTTATTATCAACATTCAATAAAATTTCCTCGAATTCAGAGATGATTTTGTTGACTATAATATACGAATACAAAACTAACTGCACAATCAAAGCTTTTCTATTTTTTCTCAACTTATACTTTTTATGAGAGAGTCTTCTATTATTAATTCATCATTATAAATTAAGCTCTGTTTACTACTGAACTCAGATATTTAGATGGAGTAAAATCCTCGCGGTGAATTGCATATACATACTCACATTTTCGATAGCTCCTCGTCCAACGGGAAACTAAAAGCATGAACTTTTGAACCACCCACATAATTCCCCCGACAAAAGGGAACACAACACTTGAAAGGCATTGTTATTTCGCCGATCACAACACAAAATATTTCACAAAACAGTAATTTTTCCGCCAATTATTTTGATGAATAAACAACAAAAGAATTCGGGACCATTTCAAAAACGTACGTGAATCACCGATGAATTAACACGAACTGACGCGTTAGTCGACAAGTGATTAAATAAAACACTGGCCTCTCTTGGTGACGTCACGAGCTGTTTACGTCAGAGTCTGCTGGCCTTGTTGTATCGGTGGTAACGGATGGCCCCACTTGGTCATAGAGTGCATATCACTGGTTCCAGCAAATTTCAGGATCCTTACCTAACGATTATGTAATATACAGGGGTGTTTCTATTATTATTATTATTATGCTTCCATTACAGATTGACTCTTTGGATACTGGATATAAAAAATACGAGAGATTTTATGGAAATCCAAAGGCGAATGTGGATTTTTTTCGCATACATTCAATGTCAAAATTTATTGAGCATTTTTATTTGTTTTCAAAATTTAGGTTAGACTTCAGAAAAAAATCATCAAAAATACATCTATTCCACATCACTTTAATGTAAATGGTATAGTACAATAATTTATGAATTAAAACAAGATAATTCAGATTCAATATATAAACGATACAATGAAGGAGATAATATACAAATTTTATAAGAATATCCTCTAACAAGTCTTAAATTTCGTGCAATGCAAAATTTCAAGGAATATAGTGAACACAATATTTACAAAGATACAGGCTTAAAAATTGTGTGTCCTTTAACTAATTAACAAAAAATTATAAAAGATCTTGGTATTGCATATCGATCAGTCTTGATCATCATTACACTATCCAGTTAGATATTTCAAAATACGTATTTAATTTGATTGGAAGAAATATCTCTTGAATCATTCCCGACAAGTTCATCAATTAATTCACTGCATAGCTGTAAAAATACAAATTCACTACTCAGGCAATAAATAACTAATTCACTGAGTCAAACAACCCTATAATTTTCGGAAAATGAACTCACCGAAAATGAGGATTTCTCTTGAGGCCACAGTTTGTTAGTGTCTATTCAACAAGAGATTATCCCGGATTATTCAATATCAACAAAAAAATTGTACAGTAATGTGCTCCGGAAAAATCGCTCTGTGCATGTTTCAACAACAAAAATTATCAATAAGAGAATAAATATAATATCAGAATCAAGTTTCTACGAAAGTTAGAGATATAAATTGGTTCCGAAAGGATTGTAATTTCAACAGAAACTCACCAAGAATAATCTTATCAGTACGAATTAACTTATAGGAAACAAATTCCTAAGAATATAAATTAAAGAACCAAAAACACTTTGGCAGAAAGTTCAGATAACTTCTCAATAGTCTTTTCACAGCAAACATAATTAATGAAATACAAACTGCCATATCTGTGGGTACATAGGTTTCAGTCAATATAATAGTAATGACTTTTTTTTACAAAAGTCTCAACTGGAAGATCTCTGAGAAATGTGGCTTCATCATGCACACGCCATTTCTTGCTTAGCTGCCTTCAAAGCTGCAAAAAAACACTGATTACCATTTAATCTTCAGACAGTATTTTTGAACGTCCTCTGAATACATCTACTTTTGTTGTTTTTTGGTTTCATAGATAATAATAATTATATAAATGCTTTGTAAGTCAAGTCAAGCAATTAAAATTTGGACAGTTGAGTATAGGTACAAGTTGAAATTATGTTCAGACTGAGACACATTTTAAAACAAGCAGTAAATTCTAATAAAAGTTTTAGGTATCAAAAATTGAAAATATTGATGTCCACCCACCTTCTCTTTCCCTCCTTCTGATTTTTTTCCGTCTCCTCTCTACCACAGCAAGCTCTGCCTTTACATCAGCATATGTTTTCCTCAGCTCAGATAATTTTTGTTGCAAGACAGCTATGCGCTGCCCACTATCTAAGCTTGGATCTAGAATTATAATTATCGAATATTGGAAAAATGTTCATCACTTATTCCAGAAATCCTTTCATTCTAACTTATGAAACATGTGTTCATTCAATTTTCAGGGAACACTTTTATATGCTTTTATTGAATACAGTATCCAAACTCCACAATATGGTTCTATGAACTGAGATGTCTATTGCTTTTGAACCATTGTGGATATAAATAATAATAATAATAATAATAAACTAGTAGGTGAGTAGGTAGAATATTGTCTGATGATTAAAAATGAACATGCGAAAATCGCCCTAGAGGAACATTTTGATGCATCCGCGATGACAGATGCATCGAATATAATAAAATGTTTCTATTGGTTAAATATTCGAAATGAATGAGGCGGGAACTTTTTCACAGGAAAGTTCATCTTCCATCGCTTTCGGACATCCTTATTGTAGATGGATATGGATAATTATTTTCACCTTTCATTGTGCACCTACTAACTAGCATCTCCATTTAGATCGATAATGGTCCGACCACCTCATAAATGTAAGTATTGCACTAGAGAAGCAAGGTTAAATAATGAACATGAAGGAATCTGGAACTACGGATATTGAAAATGAATGAATATTCATTATATAGAGTGTTCCAACGCGGATCATCCTGAATTTTTTTAATGTTCTGGTTCCCACAAAAAGGGATATCCTGTGATGTTCAGAGAACATCGTGAGGACCAAGTTGAATAAGGTAGCGATTGGTGTTCTTGAATTTCTGGAGGTTTAATGCCTCGGGGAACACCTCCCTTGGCAATGTGTTCCAGAGCCTCGCTGCTCATTGGATGAATGAGTGTTTGGAAAGAGATGTTCTACAGGTCTCCAAAGGGGCCACGAAGGGGTCCGAAGCCTCAACTCGACGGGTAAATTTCTCGGGGACTGTTGATATTTCAGAAGAGCATCGTCCATGAAAATATCAATAAAATAGAGCGAGATCGCCAACTTTTCTACGGTGTTCCAGAGAAGTGAGTGAGTTTGTGAGCGAGGCATCACCCACGAGACGAATTGCCCTTTCTTGGACAAAATCAAACAGTTTCAGGGTATGTTTGGGTGCTGTACTCCAAATATGGGAACAGTATTCCAGGACAGGTCGGATCTGTTTCTTATAGATCATAAGCAGCTGACTGGAAGTGAAATAGCTCCTGACTCGAAACAGAAAACCAAGTTTTCGGGATGCACTTTTAGCAATTGATCTCACGTGGATTTTCCCAAGAAAGGTTATTGCTGATAGTAATACCAAGCATCGAAATGGATGTCTTCAAAGGTATGGTTACTCCTGACAAGCTTATGTTGAGCCCAGTGAGATCGGCTTTTCTAGAGAAAAGGCATGCTTGTGATTTGTTTGCATTGAGATCCACCAAGTTATTGGATCCCCATTCGAGAATTGTTGCCAAGTCCTTATTTATGTTGTCAACATTTCTACCTCGTTCGTTTCTGATTTGCCTGGCTGGAATCGCAGCCCTGGAAGAGAAGGCGGTATGGAGGGTACTATCATCCGCGAAGCTGTGTACTGGACATGAAGTTGCTTCCAACAAATCGTTGATATGGAGTAGAAATAGTGTTGGTGCTAGAATTGATCCTTGCGGAACACCAGCATTTATGATAAGAGAGTCAGATGAAACTCCGTCGACCATTACATGGAGAGACCTGTTTGAGAGAAAACTAGCTAGCAGTGAACATAGCTGGGGAGGCAAGCCATTAGATGGAAGTTTGGCGAGGAGTCCGTGGTGCCAGACTCGATCGAATGCCTTGAAGATATCAAGTGCCACGGCTAAGGTTTCACCATATTTTTCAATAGATTGCTGCCATATATGTGAGACGTAAGCGAGCAGATCACCAGTTGAACTCTGATGACGGAAGCTATATTGCCTATCGTTGATAATACCAGAATGTTCCAGGTATTTCATGAGCTCGATGTTGATAGCTTTCTTCATGATCTTTGAAATAATAGATAGCAGTGCGATCGGTCTGTATTTACTAGGTAGGGTCTTTTTGCCTTTTTTAGGAACTGGTTGTACTCTTGCAATTTTCCAGCTGGACAGGAATATCCCTAATTTGTAAGAGAAGTTGAACAACTTGCAGAGAACAGGTGTTAGTTCGGAAGCACATTTCTTGAGAACAATCGGTGGGATTCCGTCAGAGTCATAAGCTTTGTTGATGTTGAGACCCAATAAAATCTTCCTTATAGTACGTTGGCGAACGGTGATCTCGGGCATATGACTGTCAATTGGCGCTATGTTTGTAGGTTGTTTTCCCAATGAATCAAGAGCAGAATTTCCAGCAAATAAATGCGCAAAAATGTTGGCTTGTCACCATAACTCTCAAACACCCTGTATAATTCTGTAGGAAAGGCTCACAGAGGCTGCATCATCTTTTACAGATACAGTTGTCGGATATTTTCGATGTAACTTACCGAATTCGACGAAGAAATTATACTTGGAAGGCCTCGGGCTCCTGTTCGACCTGTCGTACAGGCGCATCTTCGTGCTGCCCGTGTTCGAGTGATCGCTGGTGTCGTCGCTGTCGCTGTTGTGCCGCGATCTGTTCATAGTCTTCCTCATCTTCTTCATGCCGGAGGGCATGGTGTCGTCGGAGCTCCGTTGCGATTTCCTACGCCTCTTGCAGGACGCCGCCACGAGTTCTTTCAGCCGTTTCGTGGGGCTCTCGTTGGTCATTCGGGTGTCTGAATTGGAAAATCGAGGGATTATAGTTATTTTATACACTCACCGGCAGAAAAAAAAAAACGGCCAGAATAGTAATTTATGTACCAAATACGTTATACACCGAAAAAATCAAGGGGTGATTCCTTGTGATATTATAGCAAATAAAGCTCATATCAGAGAGAGAGAGAGAGAGAGAGAGAGAGAGAGAGAGAGAGAGAGAATTATACTTTATTGTTACACGAAATACATTAAGGTTACAAAGCATGTAGGTCGACAGGACCTAAGGTCAATATAAACACAGCTTTCCTGAATGCATTGGATGGTCCAATGCCCTTCATACCATTAGGAAGAATTCAAGAATTGGTATGTAATTTTATGAACTACAGAAAAAAACAATTATCGGGCGTTATGATTCCTAATGCCCTCCATAACACCCCGGGCATTATGGGTCTGTTGATAGCAACAGTTGCCAAGGTATTATAAAGCAGTAATGGACAAGTGAAAAATCGAAATTTTTGCCCAAATTTATCGCCTTGTAAAATTTATATTTGTTCTCCGATTTCGGTTAAATTTCGAACCAATCATAGATTTATGTTTCGGAATGTTAGCCTCACTAGAAATATGCAACAAGAAATATAAGCAATATTCTTTGCACCTTGTTACATTCTCACTACTGAGATCAATTGAGTTAGAAGGAGGTAAGACGGATCTGAGTTGTCGATTGAATAAAAAGAACACGTTTTCACCTGTCAGGAAGGGCAAGGGAAGAAAACATAATTCAACCAAAATGTAAAATGGCAGAGGAAATAAATGAGGAGCATAGAAATAGTATTGTAGTGAGTATTCAAAGGATTCAACCTGTGGACTGAACCTTCAAAGCTGAAAGCATGTCAAAATGAGAATATAACCTCACAATTTTCAGCACATAACCACAGAATTACTAGAATTAATCCAGTCTCACCTTTTTCTCACTACAACACCAGATGAATAGCAAGCTCAGTTGGGGTGAGGGGGAAGAAATAGTCTCAATAAGAAACTCACATCAGACTAAGATAAATGAAACATGCAATACAACTGAGCAATTGAGCTGCACCGGGTAATCTTGGATAATCTCAGTAGAAGTTGGTAAAAAGAATATTACTATAATGGTTTGAATAATTTCACCTTCTTCACTGTAAGGTGACACTTTCGTGGTAGATCCTCGTCGTTGTCTTGGATATTCAGGTTCAACATCATTCGATCTACAGCTCTCATTGTCCACTGCCGTAGGTGACAAACCACCTGTATCACTATAGAGACAGAAACTATTAAAAAATGAATAATAAGTCTGTTTAGTTTTTAGATTGATAAACCTGCACCAGACAAACATAACCTCTTCAGTATTGTCAACATATCTTCATGTATGTTTCAAATCTGACAGATTTCCCAAATTTTCCCTATATTATTTTCATATTAATTTCATTAATTCATATGGTCACATCAAATTATGAAAATACAAGGTACTCAGCTTTTAAATAAAATTTTTAGTTTTTGAGGTTATGCTGTCGCTATCATTGCGGAAGCCACCAAAATTCGTTCACCAACTCTGTACACTGCTGAATGGTTTGCAATTTTGGTTGACACAACCATAATACAAGAACGGGTGGTTACATCAAACTGGAATCCACCAAAGAATCTATGAACACAGTTGGCGTATTGATGGAGCTAGAGTTCATAAATGTACTTGACACTGCTGTTTTAACGTTTTTTTGTATATCAGAGTACGGACACTATGACAAGCACTGACAATCAGACATAACCACAAATACATTGAAGGAAAAAGCGGGAACCGGAAACTCAAGTCAAGTACATTTAGGAACTCTAGATGGAGCCACCAGTGAATAAAAGTTTTACCAATGGAATTCGCTACTAGTGTCGAGATTCGACGACGCCAAATGTTGGATTTCGATAGAAATATACAAAAAGTTAATTAAAGAAGTGACTCCACTGCTTGGTGTGTATATGAATATGAATTCTGTTTTGGTTCCGTATGCTAAACTGTCCGATGCTCACTCTTCAGATATCTATCAATAAAGCAAGTAGTTCGAACCGTCCGACGTTGTTTTCATTAAGTACCTACCAAAATGTCCCAATAACTATAATACCAAATACTGCAATGTCAAGCGTTCATAGAAAAAAAAAAGAACTGTCGGTCGCTCACCCTCGGGGCGACGCGTCGCTGCCACTGCTCTCGGGCGTGGTGGGCGGCGAGCGACCGCCCGCCTCCGACCTCGCCGCCCCTCGTTCCGCCGGCATCTCCAGCCGGGGCGGGTGGGGGGGATGAGGAGACGCCCGTTGGGGCGCCTTTTGGTCGAGCAGCATGCTCTTGCCGGCGCTGGTGCCCGGTGCGCTAGCGAACGGCATCTCCGCCACTGATTTCGGCATCGTCGACGGCTTGGTCTCCTGTGAGACAGGGTGATTTATGTGAGAGTGCAAAAAAGTTTTTTTTTATTGGTACCCTCCTATGCTCATTTGAAGAAAGCCTCAGCGGAGCGGTTCTAGAGGTGGGTCACGGGGGTAATGACCCCGCCCCCTTGTGCCAGGTGAATCGGTGATTTGTCTGTGAAATGTCTATTCAATTCACCAAACAAATGGAGAGTGGCCATACTAATACACGATACGTTGCGCACACAAGGTTGAAAATTATCAATTGCATTGCCCATAATCATTATTGAATAACTTATCAACTGTATTATCGGGGAGTTCAGTCAATCAGAATTCAACAAAAACAAGAACTTACTTGCAATGCGAGTTGAAAGGTGTAAATTGGAATAATAATGAGTTTAAAAAAATATGAATGATGTAGACATAAAAATTGATAGGACAGTGACAAAAGTCATATAATTTATATACCGGAAGAAATGAAATTATGATATTAGATTGTTGTTGAATATCATAAGGTAAAGTCATTTTCAGACCCACAATTTGGTTCCAAATTTTTCGCTATTTTGTGAGAGATTGCTGCACATACCCTTTAGCGATATTCGTTGACTTCGTACTTCGTATAATTTATGACATTAGGCAGTTTTAAAAATTCTGCAATTTATTTTATGAATTTTAGCAATAGAATTTTTCCCAACCATTTTCCTGCTCTATAGCAGACACCAATTTCAATTTTTGAATAGAATCGGATCAAAATTACAAAATTCGTTCGGCATATTGGATCCGCTATCTTGAATTTCCCAATTTTGACAAAAAAAATTAAGTTCGACACCGAAAATCCTCAGATACCAATCTTAAATAGAATCAAATCATAGTTAGAAATTTTGTTCGCTATATATTGGATCAGTCATCTTGAATTTTCCAAGTTTGACGAAACAATCATTATCTCCAACCCCGGAAAACCCCAGATATACCTTCCAATTTTATATATAGACTCGGATCATAATCACAATACTCGTTCGCCATATGATCTTCCTCAACAAGTAAATAACTATTATGAAAATTTTCAATGATTTTCTGTAGTGCCCATGGATGTGACGTGACAGCAATGTCAGGGATGCCAGTAGACAAAACTAAAGTCTCTAGATCATTAAAAAAGAATGCAGCTATGATCTGTCCGTACCCTGTTAAGATAACTTTAACGTCAATTTCCATCAAGGGACCCTAGTGTACACCAGTCTCAACGAGTTGTCTACCCCTCGATATCTCCTCATTTGTGACAGTATCAAGTCACCCCCTGCACAAAACACTCACTTGGCAATGCTGCATATCCGTCGCCGGCGCCGGACTCCGCGGTATCTCCTCCTCGCACAGCAGCAGCTCGTGCAGGTGCGGATCGGCCTCCTCCTCCTTCACCAGCTGCCCCTCCTCGACCACGACCTCCTCCTCCTTGACAGCGGCGGGCGGCGGCGTCGGCTCGCGGGCTTTCTCTTCGTTGACGCGGTCGAAGTTGAAGTTGCGCTCCTCCTGCGACTGCGAATCGTCGGTGGTTTGAGAGTGGGGGAACATGGTGCTGCTGTCGCTCTCCTTGACAAGAGAAGAATATTGCATTTGTTCAAAATGTTTCTCTTGTTAAGTGTTCAGTAATTGTATGACCCTATATGATAGTTTGGTACTTGTATTACCCTATATAGTACAAGAGATTTTCATTGCTTGTTAACATGACAACATGTTGTAGAAACATAATATGTATCAATACAATCAATAAATAAAGAAGGGTTGCGATACAAATTGTAATTCTGATATCAATCTTTATCTCATTGTCATATCCATACAAATTCAGTTTAAGTGTTTAGTAATTGTATGACCCTATAAAATAGTTTGGTACTTGTATTAACCTATATAGTATAACAGATCTTCATTGGTTGTTAACATGACATGTTGTTGAAACATAAGTAATATTCTTTCAACCTGAACTAACTGAAATATTTCACTAGAACTGAATCGTTCTCTCGAATGACGTTCATTATGTACAATGCTTATCAACTGACTCAGTTCAGTTCAAGTGGAATGTGTCAGTTAGTTCATAATGAAAGAATATCACTATAATATGTATCAATACAATCAATAAATAAAGAAGGGTTGCGATACAAATTGTAATTTCAATATCAATCTTTATTGTCATATCCATACAAATTCAGTCCATGATCTATCAAGCATCGAACATATTGGTCCTTCGAGTCGGATCTATTCAAATCAAATCTTCAAGACTGCCAAGTTCTTCAGAAAAGATATACAGAGCAGCACTCAAGACTACCTGGAGTAACAGTGAATGCCAAGCAGCTGGAGCTTTCACAGGTAGCAACAAACAGTTCGAGCGAACAGTTAATGTGTAATTTTTAGGGATTTGAGGTAATTTATGCCATTGGAAAGTAATATTTCCAAAATTTCCAAGATATTGGTAGTCTCCTGCGGAAGCCACACAAAATTGACCTTTCCAGTATGGTAAAATTTGACCCTTTTTCGCTATGATGTTATGAAGGGAAGTCAAGAACGGCGGCGGCGTCGAGTCGCGGTTTTTTCTTCTTTGACTAGGTCGAAACTGGAGTTGCGCTCCTCGTCGGTGATGTAGCCGTAGGGGTAAATGGTACTGCTGTCACTCTCCTTGACAAGAGAAGAAGAAACTTGGATTCACCGAACACTTTCTTTTTGATTTATGTGAATTTTTAGGGATGTGAGTGAATTTTTTCATTGGAAAGTAAAATTTCCAAATTTTCGGAAATCAGAATCCGGAAGCCACACACAAAATGGGCCTTTTCAGTATCGTGAAAGTTGAGTTTTTTTGCCATATAGGGAACTCAAAATAATTATCCTGAATCCTTTTCAGTATTGAATAATCCATTTCTTCGACATTTCCGTTAAAAATGATATCAGAAATGTCGAACAACAAATAGATTCAATACCCGTGAATTCAAACACTACGTAGCTGTGACATCAATGTCTTCTTGCAATTTGAATAGGCGGAAATACTCGCTACTAACACTATTGTTTAATTTGTTTCTATACATTCTGTTTCGTTTTTTCGTTGTTAGATTTGGATGTTATGTTATGCTTTGAATTGATGTTTCTGTAGTAATAGGATAGATAATGGAGTGAATCCAAAACAAGAAATCTTGAAAAAGATGAGGCTGAAGTGTAATTACAATTCTAACTTGATAATATAACTGTTGCAGTATACAGGGTATTAAAAACTTTATGAAAAAAAACACGCTACAATTTCTACACCCGGTATTCATAAAAAAAATGAGGTTTTTATGCGAATACAAATTGCACACCATAGTTCAAAAGGAGATAACCTGTCATTCGAAACCAAAAACGTCCAAATCGGACGAGTAGTTTCGACAAAAATCTACCTCAAACTTTTGCGTATTTTGTGGTGGTGTGTTAATTCTTGGGAAAAGTGAAGAAGAAGAGGTACTTCCAAATCAAGCTCCACATCTGATGGAGCTGGAAACCCCTTGAATGGCGATGGGCTTTGGGAGCTGACTCCAATTTGGTACTGGTTTTGTGTTTTGATTTGGGCACCACGTAGTTTTTTCAGAACTACGAAACTGGAATTCTGCTAGAGTTTTTTGTGGGTACGGTTCTTTCAATCCTGAAAAATTAATTGCCCCACGTTGGGCGCCATGTCGTCGAAGAGGTTCTTCCACATCTGATGGAGCTGGAAACCCCTTGAATGGCGATGGGCTTTGGGAGCCGAGCCGCCGTTGCAGGAACGAAGATGCCGGCGGTGGTCTGTGATGGCCGTTCTGAGATACATCCATATCTGAACGACAATATCAATACGCGATGATTAAAAGACTAGAATGATAACTCTCAAACACGACTTTTATTCAATCGGAATAGGATGTCAGTCACACTTGACGTCCCCGAATCTCATCATATACGGGGTGGTGACACCTCGCTGAGGTCAGTCTGCGAAAGTTTACATGTTTCTTACCTTGGCATCCATCTGGAGCTTGACATCCATCGATTCATCATCGGACCTCGCAATGACCAACTGCTCGGAATCGCTGCTATCAAAGTCGCTTTCGTCCACGAACGCCTTGCTCAGCGCCCGTCGGCGTCTTTTCCGCTCCGCGGGGAGGCTCGGCGAGCGCTTCTATAATAATAATAATATATAGTAATAATAATAATGTAACTATATGATAATAATAGAAATAGCTATTTATACAGGGTGTTTCATGAGAAGACTCACATAGCCAAATGGTTAATAGGGGAAATCAAGACGAGTTGTTTCATTGTTATGTCAAAAAAGTTCACTTTGTAACCACTTTTCTAGAAAAAATCCATCAGATTCAGAAAGATCAGACAAAATGTTCTAAGAACTGCTCTTCAATTTACTCGGCACACTTTGACCGGTTCAATAAAAAATATGGAACAAAATCGTTCAAATAAATTTTCAATTTCGACTCTCAACTTTCAACTGGATTCGTGTAAATTGATTTTTTGTACTTTTTTATTGGATAGAAATTGACAGAAGAGAGTAGTTCTGATTTTTTTTATGATTTGACATGTTAGTTTTTGACCGAATTTCTAGATAGATATGATTACTCGTGACTCTATTTTATGAATTTGTTATAATGTTGGCCATGTTTTTATTTCATGTAACGTGGCGTTTGTTGATAGGTGAACACTAGTAATCGGAATATTCTTGCACTCTAGGTGCCACTTCATATTCCAAATGCTGAACAAGACGAAAATCCAAATGCTTTGCTATGTTTAATACCACAGAATATTTCCAGACACAAGAATACGTTGCAGTAAAACCTTCACGAGGATGAACATTAGGAATTTTGAATAAATGGCGAATGCATCCTTCTATCACTTGCAGAAGTGTATCAATAACAAAAAATGGAGCTAAGTTTATGCGTGATGGCATAACTAATTTGATATATCATCATAATATGGGCACATGTATCCTCATGTCGTAATTTCATTAGTTGGTACCTACCTAGTACTAGCCTAGTACCTACCTATCAGTTCGGATTAACAACAAACGTCACGTCTCGTCACACAAATGAAAATCAGAGCCTACTAGACACCCATGAAACAAAGTCAGGAATAATAATATCTATCTGGAATTTCGATAAAAAAATATCGTGTTTTTTCTTCTCGTCTATCTTTCTGTCAATTAATATTCAACAAAATTGTAGAAAAAATCAATTCACATGATACCAGTTGAAAGTTGACAGTTATCAGCCAGGTCGAAATTTAAAATCATTTTTCTTGTTTTTAGAGATATCTTACATAATTAATTATGATGCTTTTCCTTAATTGTAATAATAATTTTTCATCACCCTCTCAATCAGTCTATTTGGATGTCTAGTTCACCCTGTAGAATTCATGGTACGTTGTTCTGGGACACCTTGTATAACATGAATGATATCATTCGGCAGTTTATAAAAGTAAATAAATACAGAGTAGGTCCACAAAAGCTAACCTGCGCGTGGATCTTCACCGGCTCCTCAATGGGCGGCGACGGGATCTCCTCCTCTTCCTCTTCTTCCTCCTCCTCCTCTTCTTCTTCCTCTTCTTCTTCGTTTTCGATTGGCGGTTCGATGGGTGTAGCCGCTTCTGGGGCGGGGTCTTGGCTTTCGGGGGGCGGTTTAGGCTGGTCTGGTTGGTCTTGCAGTTCGGGAGGGGGCTGGACGAAAGATATTGCAATGTGTACTGTTTTCGTGTCCGTGGTATTCAGATAGCAAGGATAGTTTTTATAAATTGAGAGTTCGGACACTCGACAAGCAGGGACAGGGAGCCAGATTTTCCCTCTGGAATCTCAGAAACTTATGAGGCAAATCTTAGGGAATGAACCCCAAACAGATTTATTGGATTTACCAAACAATGGTAAAACCAATGGTCACATATGGCAGCAATGAAAAACCCTCCTGAACCTCACTCCCCTCCACATTGTTGTGAAGAGGGAAGCCAGGATGGTTACCTATAGATTCCTGTCATTGGAAAATCCAATTAGTAGAGGGGGGCGACTGCTGGACCACTCCGGGATACTGTGTGAAATAAAAAATCACAAAACTCTAGGTATAATTCCCGACAAGTTGGCTACTCAGACACACGTAAAAAAGTCTTCCAAAGTCCTTTTTCCGAAGAGGGACGAATGGGTAAGAGGATCAACCCAATTCCCAGAGATCGAACACGTTATGTACGAAGATGGTTCGAAAACCTTGCGTGGAGTTGGAGCCGGTGTGTTCAGCAGAAAACCGAATACGTAAATCTCAACCAATCTCGATAAGTATGCTATAATCTTTCAGGTGGACAACCAATCTCGATAAGTATGCTATAATCTTTCAGGTGGAGGTCTTTGGAATTGAATTGTATGCTAGAGAGTTGACCAATTGACCTTTAGTAAACAAAAACATTAGTATTGTATCAGACAGTCAGGCTGCTCTAAAAGCAGTGAGCTCAGCAAGATAAATTCCAAGCTTGTATGGAACTCTATTGAATCCCTAGAATGCCAGGGTGCTAACAAAATAGTTACTTTGCTCTGGGTGCCTGGACATCAGGGGGTGGAAGGAAACGAGAAAGCCGACATCCTCGCCAAACAGGGAACCGAATGTGTTCATAGGACCAGAACCATACTTTGGGGTCTCCGCAAGTGCGACCAAAACAACTATCTCGGACTGGGCGGAGTGAAAAAGACTCACGTACTGTTCTGAACTATCAGGATCAACCCATTCGGAGGCGTTCTTGCCTAATCTATCGAAAATTGTAACCAGTAAGATCCTGGAATGGAGCAGGGGTAACCTGCGAATTCTGACGGGACTGCTTACGGGACACTGTCGTCTTAGACAACAAGTCTAGGAAGGATGGGTCTGAACCAACAAACGGACTGTCGGATCTGCTGTGTGGGAGACAAAACGACTGAACACATACTATGTTTTCGAACTTACTTAGAGAGACTAAAGTTCGACATTTTTGGGTATATGAATTTAGAATTCATGGATTTTGAAAAACGAAGTGGATTGTACAGTGAACTGTAACCTCTAGGAGTGAGCCACAATAGACCCATCCAGGGTCACAATGCGCTTCACCACAGCTGCTGCGCAAGATGGCTGTTCTGTTTTGATCATTTTGAAATATATAAGTACCGCAAATTGAAAAGTTCTCTGATTAGTTACATGCTACATTCAATTTATCTTATATATTTTTCTCCACATCTGGGCAATGTATTCAATCATTGATGACGAATTTCAGATATATTGCTAGGTTCACTTAGGTCACATTTGTTGACATGTTCAAAATCCTATAAAAATGTAAGGTGACTTAAAATTGACTTTTCTATAAAAATGATTTTCAGACGGGCTGCTGTAATTTTGTTTTTTTTTTCTCATTTTAATTCTTTTTCATTTGTCTCCTGGGTATGTTCTACAATCTGTGTCTGAAAACTGTGTTATTGGTATCTAAGAGCTATTTTCCAACTAAATTCCGGACATCAAACGGGTCGCTATACAACACTTTGGTCAGGTTTGTTGACATTTTGAAAATGCGCTCAGATCAGACGCTACGCCCAAAATGCTGAAAATCGGACTTCTGGTATATAATCTATGGATTGCGTGCGGTTTAATCCAGGACGCTATCAGACAAAAATCTTGGTCGCCAAGCCTACAATGCATTTTTCGAGACTTTTTCCAACAATTTCGGAAAATATACTCAGAAAAGCAATCGTTTTATTTACTTATTCATTCAAATGTTTTTGTGAAAGCTAAGAGGAAAACTGAACATTTAACTCTTGTTATACAGGTTGTGTTAAACAAGTAAATATTTCTACTATTCATGCACACATGAACATAACTATTCAAAGTATTCCCAATATTCCTGAAAAATATATTATTCTCCTATGAAAGAGTTCAACTCACGTCACACTTATTTTCTGGCATCTCCTTCACTTCCTCCTTCTCCACCTCCTCCTGTTTTTCAATCTTCTCTCCCTCCTCCTTCTCCTCCTCCTCATCTTCCTCCTCATCTTTGTCCACAGTTCCTTTGGCCTCCAACTCGTTCTTGATCGAGTTGAGCTTCTGCAGAATGGAGTCCGCTATCTTGGTGCCCGTTTTCACGATACTCAACTCTTTGGCGGTCTCCTCCAGCTTCACCTCGAGCGGGACGGGCGGTTGGGAGACGATGGACTCCAGCAGAGAGCTGTCGGTTTCCTGCAGGGCCGGCGAGATCAGCTGCTTTTCCACGGGAGGCGCGGGCTTTTCTACGGGAGGCGCTGGATTTTTTTCCGGCGATGGTGGCGGGATCTCTTTTTCCTGAAGAAAATCAACAATGAAAAGGAGAAGACAGTTCTGATGGCTTCTCCCATTTTCAAGGCTAAGAATGTGTCTTTGATGAGTATTTTCCCAAAGAAATAACCAACTGTCAAATTGATACCATTTACACTGACCTAGCAAATGCCTTTGATAAACTAATAAATCACAATGTTCTGCTGAATAAGTTGTTGATATCATTCTCATTTGATAAAAATCTGGTTGCATTTATTGACAAATCAACTGAACTTTGTAAAATTCAACAGCTCCCAGTCAGATAGCTTCATCATCAACTCAGGAGGTCCCCATGGCTCGATTTTGGGACCGTTACTTTTCGTTATGTTTGTTAATGAGATTGATGATTACCTCAAAGATGCGAAATTTCTTCTATATGCAGATGACTCGTAAGTTTTTATGAAAATAACTTCAGTAGATACAAAAATATTTCAAGGTATTACTAATGAGATCACTAACTATTGCGATGATGATGACCTTTCACTAACTGAATAAATCAAAATGTAAAATAGTCTCATATACTAGGAGAAAAAAGAATACCTTGAAAACTGTACCATTATTAATGTTGAACTGGAAATATTAGATGAAATCAATAATCTGGGTATAGTTTTCACAATGAACATGTTGAGCGCCTAAGCCAAGGTGCTATAGAAAACTAAGATCCACTCAGGATTTTCAGTATCAAACGTTCATAATGTTTTTTAAATCATGTGTAAGATCAGAGTTGGAGTACTGTTGTATTATCAATCCTGACACAGTATTATAATCTAATATGCTTGAAAAGATTCAAAAGAAATTCCTGAGGTCTATGCATTTGGAAAAATATCGTGCATCATATTATATGAACACCAAAGGATTGATTTCAACATAGAAACTTTGAGTAAACGGCGTGAGAAAATTCAGATCTTGTTATTATTTTTGATATCTTACATAAGTTGATTAATGTAACTGACATAAAGAGACTCAGATCCAGAAATACTGTTTTCAGTGACTGCTGCTCAGCTGCTCAACCACTTTCAATAACTTCTTAAGAATATGTGAAATTGGTATGTGGGCTATCTCCAAAACTTCAGTTCTCTCTCACCTGTGTTATTTTAATACTAATTGTGTGATGACTGTTGTGATTTAGGGTCTCTTGAATGTATAATGTATTTAGTTGTAAGTTCTAGCTTTAGTTGATTTCTATTCTCTTCACCTACCTCTCTAACAGATACATTTTATCAATCAGTCTGTTTCTAACCAGAATAAATTGATAAATGAATGAATACCTAAATGAATAAATAAATAAATGAATAAATAAATTAATTTCAAGTAGTGAGATGGACAAATGGATTCATTTATCAAGGCGTCGAATATATCAAAACAAGTAAATTCAATTTACTTACCAATTCCGACACAGTGTCTTCTACCTTGATAATTTCTTCCTTAACGGCAGGCACATCCAGCATGCTTATCCCCAAAATAGTGGCCATGGTGGGAATCAACTCGCAATCCTTCTTCTTGATCTGATAGTTGGTGGTCGGAGGTCTGATCATCAAAACGTCGTTGCTATCGTCGTCAGTCGACGAACTTCGAGCTATGACTCGCTGTATCTGCTCTCTGATCAATTCTTCATCATCGCTTAGCAAAATAACAAATGAAATGAATAGTGAGAATTTTCAAAAAGAGCGGGGTAAGTCAGAAATAAGGGGGACGTCGATGTGAGCGTAAAGTAAAGAGCGAATTTGAGTATAACGACTTCTGTAGAGTGCAAAATTATAGGTCCAATAACATTTACATAGAAGACATTTATATAAAAAAAATTTATGGGGAATGGTTGTAGCAGTTGAAGGAATACACTTCAGAGGAATAAAAATTGAAAATATTTCTTTGCTGATGGGTATTGACTATAGTTCTCTTCTTCAACGAGGTTCATTAATAAACATTTGTCATTTCTTGTATAAATAGTGGTATATATAGCGACTGACCGACAAAAAACGTCCCAAGCCATAGCGCCGCTAAGAATCCGATTATAAAAAACAGAAAAGCAAATGAAATGATTCGTCGAATCCAATGAGTGAACTTTGATCAATATTTTTTGAAATTTCAACTTTTAAGTCAGCGACTGACAATTTTTTTTTTCAATGGCTCCATGTTTTTTTTTCTGTTCGAGATTATTTCTGAATACATTGTGATATGTATGACCAGTTGAATTTCGAGAAACATTGGTTGAAATGAACAATAAATGCTCTGTTGACAATATACTAGCGAATGTATTGTTTCAAGAGTGACAAAAGTTACATTTTTTATTGTTCTTAAGGTTCAAAGTTTTTGACGGGTGAAAAACTTCACTTTATCTGCAACGCTGTTCATATTAAAATAATATTCATTCTATGGCGGGAACGAAGTTTGACATTTCAACTCTGTAGACAGGTAAAAAAAATGTCACCTATTCAATTTTCATTACTAAAAAAGTTGACGTTATGAGAATTTCTCTCACCCACAAGGAGAATTATGTTTTCGCTCAAAGTATTTTATTTCAAAATGACGTTTCCTTGTGTACCTGACAAGTGCGGAAAAGTCACTTTACGCACGTGCTAGGTCTATTTTTTTCCCAAAAGTTAACATAAAGTAACATTTATTATAATTAAATATTCAAATGTCAGTTTACTCCCCAGAAACTAAACTTTTTTCCGCACTAGTGCGTAAATGTAACTCTTTCAACATTGAAATGGGTGATGAAAAGTAGTATTTTCCGCACACTAGTCGAAAAAATATTTTCATAAAATTTTGGAATGTATCATCAAGTGGGGACTGAAATGAATGTCAGTTATTCATTCATATACATTCCAATTAATATTATTGCATAGTAATATATTTTTCTCTATTATTCTTGATTCGTGTACCTTCTCAATGAGGAATGAGAATGTACTATTATTCATTGAATTTGTTTTGTTGTTGGTGTGTAGGGACTTTACAACAGCTGTCAATAGTGTCAACTATAAAAAACCGCAAAGGACGTAAGGAAATTATTTCACACAACAATACCCTTGCCTTTAAAATTTCGTTCTTCCATTATTCGCCGTGACTGTTGCGCTCTTTGGATTCTTTGCTTGTAAGGTGTTTTGCGAGACACCCGTCCAGAAATATCGATGACTAGCAAAGTAACCCGTGTTTCGATACCTAACGTCGTGGTTTTTATTTTCAATCAGGTCTGATTTAATACTCAACTCATATTTTTATTCATAGAAACAAGAGGAAGAAGAAAAAATGTTTGACCGAGAAATTTATCAATTTTATATGGAAAACAATTAGGAGTCAGGGGACTTCGTTTAGCAAAATATGAGAATGTTTGCGCTACTTAGCAAAACAATCATGTCATGTGATTAAGAATTTTGTGTAAATTTTCTCGTTTGTGAAGTTTTTTCCATCAAGTAACGGCCGAGTCAATTCGAAACACACCTGATGTTCTCGTTGTCTTTCAGTTTACTGTCATCCGTCTTGGCCGAAGGGAAGTCCATGTCCAGCACGTTGACCGCCGGCGGCGTTTTCGGAAAAGCCTCGGCGAACACGTCTCCCCCCTCCCGGGCCATCTTTTCGGGGCTCGTAGTGAAAATTTCGGTCTGCGACTCGCAATCCGACAGCTCCATGTCCCCGCTGTAGTCCTCCACGGTCTCAGGAAGTTCCCTAAAGAAACAAATTAGGAGAAAAAAGATTATAGTAGAGAAAATTATAGACATTTGCAACTCTTACCCCTGATTTATAGATTCAATAACGCAACGTAATGCAAGTACTTATAGGATTTTTCCAGTACTGTGACGCGAGAGATGCCCATTTTAATCTTCCTATGTTTGGCGTTGTGGAACGGTGACAGAACGTCATGCAGAAGAGAGGTTGGGTTTATTGTTTGATTTACATTAGGAATTTATTAATAATATTATATAATTGTTCTACATACAATATTGATTAAGGAGCGTGTGAACGTCAAAGAGAGATACAATGATTCAAAGACCAAGGATAGAGTTCCTTAATGTGTTGGTCATTGTTGTTTTGATATTTTTGTATATTTAGAGAACGAACACTCCGACAAGCACCACCGACATAAATTTCTAACTACAACGCTAATGTCATAAGATCAACGAGATATTAGCGATCACAGTTACTATAATAGCCAAAAGGAGCATTTACACGAGTGTCAGTTAAAGACTGGATTCAGGCAAAACATAAGAGCTACTGGGAAAACATCCCAAGAAACAAACATGGGAAACAATACATTAAGGAACCAAGTCATAAAGGAACTGTAGACCTGCTCAACTTGAACAGAGCATAGATAGAAACTGTTACGGGACTCATGACTGGCCATGCGCCAGTAAAGGAGCATCTCGCCAGAATGGGACTGTACAATGGCGACCCCAAGCTGCAGACTATGTGGCAAGGAACCAGTGACAGTAGCACATATACTGTGCCGATGTGAGGCATTGGACCGCAGAAGACAGAAGATCTTTGGGCAACCAGTTGGCGAACCAGAAATATTCAACTCACATCCAGTGAAGGATTTGTACAGACTTGTTCAAGGTACAGAGATAATGGAGTGGGCACAATAAAGAACATTAGGTAAGATACAATGGGCCACCTTAGGCCTAAGTGTCGTCGGAGACATGGTCAGACGAGCCTACAAACAGGGTGGAGTTTTTAGTGGGTAAACCCTGGCTAGAGTCAGGGGAGTCCCACACTATCATATGGGGGATAGGACCCATATGGTGTCCATAAAGGATTTAAACCACCTCGACAAAAAAAAGCATTTAGGAAAATCAGTGTTTATTTATTTTCCAAAATTTCGAATTTTCAATCACGGATTCCATCTTTTCAGGGTTCAATTATTGGTCTATATGAGTTTTCTCAGATTTCTAAACGAACGAATAAAATATTTCATTTCCATACTTGCAGAGGAGTTCTAGAAAAACTCAAAATTACATGAAACATATCGGTTTCCCAATAGAAAACATCACGCTGAATCGATTGTGACCACGAAGAGACCGCTAGGACTGATAGTTTTCGAGATATTCGCGATCAAAGTTACCTATTCACTTTTCTTGTCATGAGAAGATCCTTTCTTTGGGGACTTGAATTGGTCTTCATGATTTTTTTTCAGATTTTTCATTTCCATGCTTGAGAAAGTCGTTCGCAATAATACCGATTAAAGAAAAAACGACAAAACTAAAAATTTCACGCAACATACCGAGTTCTTAATAGAAAACATCATGCTGAATCGATTGAGATCACGAACAGACCGCTGGGACTGATAGTTTTCGAAATTTTCGCTGTCAAAGTTACCTATACGCTTTTGTAGCCAAACGGAGCACTTCGAAAAATCACTGCATTCACAAGATCATACTTGGTTTTAATGCAGTGTGGCATCAACTTTAAAGATTTGTCAAATTAAGAACAAATTGGGAAAATAATAAGATGTTACTTTGTGCTGTTTCTATCTGTAAAAATACTGAGAATTGATCAACTTCATTTAATTTCCATCAAATAGAACACTCTTACAGAAGTGAAAAGACAACTGAAAGCGGCCGGCAAGGAAGAGGAACAGTGATTTTATGAGTGAATAGAGACCACAAATTTTACGTCAAATATGAATTCCTACCTGAAGAGACTCATTGTTTCCTCGTTGAGGTTCCTCAGGACTTTCTCCTTGTTCTCAATTGGCTTCTCCAAAGGTTTAACGATATTGAAACAAGGAGATTCCACTAGCTTATCGAAGGGGTCTTCCTCTTCTTTGGGCGGAGAAAACAGCGTGATAGATTCTTCCTCCTCCTCGTCCTCTTCCTCAGAAAAATCTTGTTTTTTAACCGGTAACCTTGGCAAGAAATAGATTTATTGGATCTTTGAGTACACAGAAATTTTACTAAGCATTATGAATCACTGATTATGAACTTTGAATCTTCCTATCGATTTGATTGGAGAGATAAAGTAGTTTTCTGATATTTACCTGCGGAATATGCGCCGATCTGGACTGTCAGGAGTCTCCAATTTTTCCGGAGACATTCTGACGCTTCTTTTACTCGGCGACTTGTCGATATCCTCGAAAATCCTAGGTAACCTCTTCTTGTCCTCCCCTAACTTCGCCCTGCTCTCGAATTCGAAAGGCTCCGGCTCCTTGAACTCGTAGATGTCTTCGGAGCTGGAGGATTTCTCCAGCGGTGTCTCCTTCGGTTTCTCCTCGGCTCCGTCCTCCACCTCTGCCGGCTTCTCCAGCACGGGAGGATTGGTGGAATCGTCCGACGAAGACACCGCTTCCTTTTCGATCTTGTCCATCATGGTTTCCAGAGGCGATAGCTTGATGGCTTTGGCGAAGCCTTTCAGCTCGGATCTGATCTGGTTGAGATCGAAGTCGCGGCCTTTCGGCGGGTTCGATTCGTCTTCATCTTCCTCCTCCTCTTCGCTCTCTTCGGCGGATTTTTCGGGAGATCTCTTGATTTTTCTCGTTCGTTTTGTGACTTTTTCTTGGTCATCTTCTTTCTCTGTGTCCTCGTCATCTTTGCGTTTATCTGTTTTTGACTAAAAGTTGAAAAAAGTGAAGCCACGAATGACATTTGTTTGCAACTTTGAATCGAAATTATTTAACGAAGAAATAGTGTACGATATTATACAGGGTGTTAGACAGTAGCCACGTTCATACCGTATAGATATTTGGTATGCTTACCAAGGTGACCTGACCAAATTCAGACCAAATGCGTTAGTTTACACCATGTATGATTAGTTCTTCAGTTGACTAACGTAACCAATACTTTGTTTTGATTTGATTATTATTTTGAGGTTAGGTTGTGGAACTCATCTTGAATACGTAAATAATGAATGATACCATTTGGCAACAGACAAAATCAGCTGAATTTGAATGAAATATTGTTTGGAAGAAATATAAAAAACTGACACTTGCACTCAACTCAAGTCAAGGCTATACAAAAGTAGACCAAAGTGTTTACACCGTCATTGGTCATCATACTATTTTAGTCTGGTAGGCAACAAATTTCAGTACAAAACCAAGCTGGTAACTTTACCAAGTGCACCAGTTTATACCACACTGCCCCAGAGTATTTAGTTAGAATATATTCATTAGTCAGCTGACCAAGACACGGTACAAACGTAGCCAATAAAAATAACAAAGTCCAGTAAATCCCGGAGGTTTTAATTATCCCTATAACCGGAGTTTCATACAGGGGCGGATCCAGGCGATGTTTGAGGGGAGGGGCCATAGGAAGTCACCACTCATTGATAGCAAAAAACAGAGAAATTGTCATTGGTACCTACTGAGAAAAATGGTTTGTTTTGAAAATATTGATTCTATTGATTCAGTATTCTCTTTTCTCTCAAGTATCAAATTTCCTGATTAAAAAACAATTCAACTGAAAAAAAAAACGCCCAAAGCTAGCGCCGGTATTAACAATTCGATTTTAAAAACAAAGAAGCGAATGAAATTACTCATCAAAAACTATAATCATCACTATTTTTTCAAATTTCAACTGTAACATCAGGAACGATTTTTTTTTTGTTAACTGGCACCATATGTTTTAATTTTTTCGTTGACTCTTGGACAAAACTAATTAACATAAAAAATGATAACTCAATTGACAAAAAATTGATATTTTCATCAAATTCTGGGATGTATCATTGAATGCGGCAGCAAATGGCAATAAATATAACGTAACATAATGACGGCCAGTTTGAATATTTTGATTATTTCCACAGCACACTTTGGAATCACATGTGTTGTTGAAATATCTGACAAATGAAACAAGGATATATCAGTAATAATTATTGCCACATTTGATGATGCATCCCAAAATTTTATGAAAGTATCTATTCCTTGTCAACTGTGCATTTATTTTTCGATTTTGTTCATAAGCAGATTTTCGGGAAACTAACTTTCAAACCCTCAAAGTCTACCTCTTGGAGGAAAACAGAAAGATTTAAATTTTTCCAAAATCATTAATCTCTGCAATTCTTATCGCCTACCCAATCACATCTCGAAAGGAATGCATCGAATTACCAGTAACCCTGTATATATTCACTACACGGATTATGGTGGTAAATTATTCATGCAAAAATGTAGATTGTGGAAATCAAAGGCCGACGTGTCTTGGCGAATTTCCTAACAAGTCCATATAGCAATGAATTAGATATCTCTCACACTGTATAGTGAAAACAACAGACTTCACTTACCAACATGGGCGGTTTGGGCATCCTTTTTTGATAGGTTCTAACTGGCACCTCAGTTTCTTCAGATTTTGCCCCACTCCTGGTCCTGGAGAGTTCAGATTCGCTACACGAACCGTCATCGCTATCGGATTCGGTGTGGTTCGAAATGTCAGTTTGAGCAGATATCCTTCGGGTACGTCGAAATGAATCTGAATAAATATTAGTGGATTGGTTTTATTTTTTGCCACCAGGAAGTTTTCTATCTTCGCCAAAAAATTCTGATCAGGGAGATACTAGTTTACGGTAATTTTTAGCAAGCTTAAATTGTTCCCAGACTATCTGATTACCCTCATCTTGCCTAGAGATCTTTTTTCAACCACCTATGCCAAAAATCACTACCCAGATGTGAAAGATTTCCCATCCTTGATGTTTGATGGCTCAATATCTGTTACACCACGGTATACTCGGAGAAAAATGTATCGTTGATTCCTCTATGGCGGTTCGAAAAAATACTAAGTGTCAAAAAAGTTGACTTTTGATATTTTTTCAATGCGACACCTGAAAATTACCAGCGCCCATGTAGTACGAAATGAGACCATTGAAGGGACATCATGAGTTAGCATGGACTTCCAGCGAACTGTTTTGTTGCTTGCAGTAATAAAAAATACGCGTATGCCATCCAATGATGAACATAAAATTCTCAATTGCATGGCAAAAAATGCATGCAATTATTTACACTAACAAGATGATTAACCTCAATATCAAATTTAGTTGGTTGGTTCGTAGGCGGCCCTAGCAAAATATGGCAGATTTGTCTATACTCTCGGGATCTGCCCTAGTCCATCTATCTGCAAATTGCTGAACTATCTAGGAATATCATTCTTTCTAAGGTAGGAAACAAACAAACTTTGATATTCTGCCTTCTAAATGATGGTGCTTAGTAGGTGCATGTAAAATATCATGAAAATATCTAGAACGGTATTGAAGTTATGATAAGAAAACGATTTTTTTCTTTGAATTTTTCTAAAGTTAAGTAGGGCATATGTTCAATAAACTTTTTTTCTCAGAATGAGCTAAGGAACCATATCCTTTATTTTCAGCCATCAATTAAATTACACCTTGTATATCGGAAATCAGTGGACGTTTTATCAGCAGCCAGAGAATTGAAAACTAAATTCCTGATCTAGAGTTTGATCTGTACCAAGTTTCATGAAAAAATATTCAATATTAACGAACCTATGACTAAATTACTGACAAGCTGTTTATCGTGCATTGAGAAGCTTTTTATTAGAGTCCCTCTTTTTATTTTGTAATATTAATAATAGTAGGCTTTGCAATTACTGAAGTCACAGATGACTGCATATTGATACAGTTTACTCCCAGATCTCTCGACTTCCCTAAAGGGCTTCAATGAAGAAAAAGTTGAAGAAGTCAGAATCTCAAGTCAAAGTCTTTATAAGGATAAAATGAAAAGATTTTGTATATCCTGTAAAATTTATTATAAAATCGTATAGCGCTTTCGGCTAAATAGTCATCATCAGGCTATACCTGCAAGTAACTAGTAAGTAACATTTATGAAATTTCAAAAAGACAAATCAAAAAATTAGTAATCAACATCATTATGGTACAAACGGAATTAGGAACAGACATACATTCAACAAAAAAGTTCCTTAATGGGTTATTGTGAAAAAAACAAAAATACACGTTAAAATTGTTTAGTTCAGGTCCAGGAAGAGCACAAGGGACCTAAGACCTTAAGAAGAGGAATATTTGACATTTTTAACCATAATAATATTGTTGACAGAGACTGAGTGTCAATGTCAATGAATGAGTTCATTTGGGTATGAATATGGTTGGGTGGTGAAACGATCAAGAACCTCTCATCAAGTCAAAAGGCCAAGCGAGTAGGCTCGTCACGACTCATAGGAGGGTCGACAAACTGAGTTGCGACAATAATGATAACCTGGATAATCCTTGCACTCACCCTGTCTGGTCAACCTGCCGGTGGACCTGGTGGCGGGAGTGCCAGGGCTCTTCGTCCTGCTGCCCGACGACGTCACGCTCGACGGGGTGGTGGATCGTGGCGCGTCCGCGGTGGAGGAGCGCGCCGACACTGATTTCACGCGGCCTCGCTTGGCACCCACCTTGGGGGCGTTATTGGACTGGAAAGAAACATAAGTCATTTTTCCTCGAACCTAACCAGACAAACAAGAGGCGCATTTCAAAATTGTTGTTTAGTAGAGGTCGATACAATTTACAGTTGAAGTTACTCGACAGATGCCAAATATCGTTTCAGGCTATATTCCGAATTCAACTGACAGTACTGAATCTGCTGATTTTTCATTCCGAAATAAAAAAATTCACTGAAAGTGACAGATGCTTGTGAGCAGACATACTATTCATTCCAAATATTTCGACTCAACATTCTACTGACATTGCTGACTATCGAAAGGTAGTGTGGCTTCAGTGAACTGTCATTATTTTAGAGGGGGAAGGAATGCAACATTCATTTGCGTTGTTAATAATATATTATTCTCAATATCAGAAAATACCTGTTATTGATATGATAAGCACTGAGAATAATATTGAGTATAAAGTAGTAGAGGCAACGAAAGAAGAAGCAGCATTGGCTATATAAATAACTAAATAAACCTGAAATGTCTCCTAAATTCATCATCATTACGTTTTCTATAAATCTTTCAATTCTCAATCTCGTGCATCATTCGAAATTAATGGCAACAAAATGTCCAAGTATTCTTTATCACTCGAGCCTGAATCTGAATCGTCATCGTCAACAATCGTAGAAACTATGGAGGCTACAAGAATCGATTGCTCTTCCATGTTAAATATTAAATATTAAATATCTAGTTCAGATAAACGAGAAACTACAGACTGACAAATTTCACCAGCTGATCAACTGCTGCTGACTACTGATGAAAACCATGAAAACGTGTCCCGAATTACAGCACTGTATTTTTGATTTCATATTTCGGAACACAGATTTTCAGCAGATTCAGTGGATGTACTGATAGTACTGACCAGTTGAATTCGGAATATAGCCTCAATTTCCATAGGAAGAACATCCGACTTCTAACTATTCATCCTGCTCCGAGAGGTAGGTAAATTTTACCCAATCTACGTTTGGCAAGACGGACAAGCGTTTTCTGCATTTTGGTTTTGTAAGCTTTGTGAGGTTGGGTTTTAGGATTTCATAACAAACACCAGTAAGTTTTTCATTTAAATTTTGAGATACCTAATTATGAATAAATTTTCAATAGAATAGAATAAAGAAGTTTGTCTTCTGAAAATTAAAAATGTAATTCGCTGATCAAGTCACATTAATATTGTACCTAGCTGTAACCAAATAACGGATAATACTTGTTTCTCAGCACATATCTATTATCTTCCTCTTTTGCATTGTTTTCCACTCAGTTTGGATCCTACCACTTCCATTAGTCGATCAAAGAAAGTTCTAGTCATACGAAAATATGATTAAAATTGTTTTCCTTGAATTATGTTTTCGAAAAATTTGGAATTCTTGAAAAATCCTTCTGGCACTTATTTGTATATCAATTATTTTTCCTCAACCGAAGAAGAAAAACTACTGTCATCGTGAAAAAATAAATTATAGAGGAAACTGCAGAACCCAAATATAACTGTCTCCATTATTGCTTCATTTCAATGAAAAATAAAATATACCAACACTTCAAAACTTCTGCTAAAAAAAATATAGGTTAGACATAATATTCTCTCCTCTTGCATAGACGTTTCAAAATTGATATCAACGAACGTGATCCTCCTGAATACTTCTGACGTCATCTTTTTACCCTTTGTCGGACGTTGGACACATTTTTGAAACGCAGCTCAGGTTAATGTACACAAATTTCCATTTTCTTTACCAGTGGCGCCGTTTGGGGGATATTATTGTTTATATTTTCATCACTCCACAGACAATACTACACATCTCGCCTACTAACTAGTTTTTCCATTTAGATCGACAACGTCTGTATATCTAATCAATAATTTCAATTCAAACCCAGAAAGTTATCACTCCCAATGGTCTTTATATTTTTCGGTGGTGATTTTACGAGTTTTACTCACCTTGTTAACGTTACTGGTGCTCGTTCCTGCCGCCGACTGTTTTGTTCTCTTCGCTTTGGTGGTGGCGCTCAAATTCTCTGCAATCCTCTGAGGTTGTATCCATTCATCGTATCTATGAGACGACTTATTAGAAACGTAATCAGCACATAATGAATTGTAATTAATTATACAAGCGAAAAAAGTATTAGATTTCAGCTCGAAAGTGGAGGGAGACAAATAACCAAGAGCTGAAATTGAGAGAGAGATCTTTATTGAACCAATGAAAAATATACGTATCAATATCCGATAACCCTCTCAAGTATGCTCTCTTTATGAATTTTCGAATAGTTATATGAAATATCAAATAAAAAAAACCATGCCATTCAGTATTTTCAGATGTTCAAAGTAGATGAGGAACGTTTTTCGAGTTCAGATTTGTAGGATCTTTTTCGCTCACATTGATTCAGACTCTCATAGTGTGGATACCAATCTGCTTGGTTATTTGTGTTTTCGCGTGACCATATGGTTACGGTCGTTCCTGAGTTAGGGAGTCGTCCAGTAGTTCCACCAGATGAAAGGACATCTGAACGTTGTACTCTTTGTCCTCGGAAAAATGATCGAAAAACCCGTAACAAATGTCAAATTTGCGGATAGTTTGTTTGTGTAGAACACAGCCAGAAGAAGATAATATGTAACCCATGTAATAATTGATATCTCAAAAAATTCATTTTAAAAGTTGATTTTTATATTTTGTAATGGTTTTGTACTGCATACTCTATAAAACTTATTGATATACAGTGTGTCCCACTTACCATGCTCACCATGGGTATCTTTTTACCGGTGAGAGATACGAAGTCGGTTGAATGACACCAAATGTGGAGTTTGTCAAGGCCAACTATGATGTGAAAAAATATTTGGATAAAATCTATTCGTTTTTGTTTTATACCCAAAAAACAGATTTTGATCCGTTTCATGTCTTCTCCATAACTTCTTTATTTATGAAAATATTCAAATAGGAATTTCACATTCTCATGGCAGTTTTTCAAAGTGATTTAAAAAAAAATATGAAATTTATACCAACTCTTCTAGAATTTGAGATATCAGCACCAACTTTAGTTTTTCAAATGTAGGTCATAGCTCACTATGACTTTGTTAAAAATAACTTCATTTTCTCTTTCAGATGATATATCGCAGTAATAGGTTTGTGTTGATAACAACGGAGTTATCGTCATTTATACAAAAACAAAGAATTATTTGGAAGCCGCCATCTTGAATTTATAAATTTTAACAAAAAAATCATGATCTCCGACCTCAAAAACCCCCACTTACCAATTTTGAATGGAATCGGACCATATCTTGTCCGTCATCTTGAAGCAGCCATTTTTTTAATTTCAACAAAAGTTCCATAACTCCGATTAACTTGAAATGCGGAAGGTGTTTATAATTTCGGTGACAATACATTATGGATTTTTTTTTAAATTGAAAAAAATGGCTGCTCCAAGATGGCGGACAAGATTTGGTTCGATTCCATTCAAAATTGGTAAGTGGGGGTTTTTGAGGTCGGAGATCATGATTTTTCTGTTGAAATTTATAAATTCGAGATGGCGGCTTCCAAATAATTTTTTGTTTTTGTATAAATGACGATAACTCCGTTGTTATCAACACAAAACTATTACTGCGACATATCATCTGTGAGAGGAAAAAAAGTTATTTTTAACTAAGTCATAGTAAGCTATGACTTACATTTGAAAAACTAAAGTTGGTGCTGATATCTCAAATTCTAGAAGAGTTGTTATAAATTTCATATTTTTTTCGAAATCACTTTGAAAAACTGCCATGAGAATGTGAAATTCCTATTTGAATATTTTCATAAATAAAAAAGTTACTGAGGAGACAAAATGATCAAAATTTGTTTTTTGCGTATAAAACAAAAACGAATAGATTTTATCAAAATATTTTTTCACATTATAGTTGGCCTTGACAAACTCCACATTTGGTGTCATTTAACCGATCTCGTATCTCTCGCCGTTAAAAAGATACCCATGGTGAGCATGGTAAGTGGGACACACTGTATTTGGATAAAATTTGTTATTTGTGTTTTTTTCAAGTGCAAATCATATAATAAAATTTAATATTATAAATATATATGAACACAAGGTGGCCTACAAAAATACCCCAGTTAGTAATGTAGGGGTATTAGAATTACTCAGTATTATGAAGGTTAAATGAATACACCAACATAGAGTTCCTAAATGTACTTGACACTGCTATTTTGGCGTTTTTCGTTGATTATATAAAAAACGTCAAAACAGCAGTGTCAAGTACATTTAGGAACTCTACACCAACAGTGCGAATCCGGGCCGGACAGCTAGTCATCAATAAAGTGATTACCTTGTGTTCCATCCTGTATAATGTACCAAATACACGGCACCCATTTGATCCTTGTCGATTTCGATGACCTTGGCCTCGTAGGTGACCTTCGATTCGTGCGTGGGCCCATAATAGACCTTCAGCTTATCTCCGATGTTCACGGCGACGCCGACGAGGGCGTCGCTGCCGCCGGTTTCGGAGTCGGCCACGCGCTTCCTGCCCTTCTTCTTGTCGTCCTCGGAGGACGAAGTGGACGGCGCGGATTTTTTCGCCGGTTTGACGACGGCGGGTTTCGCCTCTTTCGGCGGTTTGACTTCGGGTTTCTTGTCCTTTTCGACGGCCGGCGGCGGGGGGTCTTTTTGTTTGGATTGAGACTTGGAGCGTGTTAGTTGACCCTAAGATTTCAAGATGCTATTTAGAAAAAAGGATTCCCTAAAAGCAAGAGAAGAATAGAGTCACTGGTATTGGATGGTATTGGCATTGAAGTCGGAGGTCGTAATTTTGAACAACTATTGTGATATTTGAATCATTATTCGGCGGTTTGACTTCGGGTTTCTTGTCCTTTTCGACGGCCGGCGGCGGAGCGTCTTTTTGTTTGGATTGAGACTTGGAGCGTGTTAGTTGACCCTAAGATTTCAAGATGCTATTTAGAAAAAAGGATTCCCTAAAAGCAAGAGAAGAATAGTCACTGGTATTGGATGGTATAGGCATTGAAGTCGGAGGTCGTAGTTTTGAACAACTATTGTTTTTATTGTTTATTGTTTATTCAAAAACTAGCTTCCAGTCAGAAATAAAATTCTGGTATGAGGAAGTTGATTACAAATAACAATAATAAAATAATATATGGTGACAACAACAACAAAAAAATCAAAAAAATCTAAAAATGCTAAATCGATCAAGTCATAAAAATAGCCACAGGGACTAATCAGTAGATGGCAAAGTATAAATTTTATCTATTTCGTAATGAAATCATGTGTTTTTTTTAATTATATTGATGAAAGACTATTGTGGAATAAACATATAGATCATTTGAGGAACAAACTTAATCCTATTACAGGCATTTTATTCAAAATACGAAATTTCATTTCTACCAGATACTTGAAGAGTATTTATTTCTCTCTTATTTACTCAAAATTTCAATACCTAATATCTATATGGGGAAGTACCAATATTTCACGTTTGAGTCCACTAATGAAATTACAAAATAAAACATTGAAGTGTATTTTCAATTTAAATTTTCTCGAACCAACCATGAATTTATACAAACCTAGAGATTTATTAGATCTGACATCGCTATATAAACTTAAAATTTGTTGTTTTATTCGATTTTTCCTATATAAATTGAAAATTTCGAATTTAAATTTCAATGAAATCAATTCATTACATAATCATGGAACAAGACAATCAAATTTACTAATAGCAAATACGTTCAAGTCAAATATTGGCAAACAATCAATTTTTCACACAGGAATCGTTCTATACAACTCATTACCAAGTCATTTGAGGAATATACAGGAAGCAACTAGATTCAAAATTAACTTAAAAAAATATCTGCTTCAGAGACTTTGATAATTCCATTTCTTATTTGAATACCTACTTATAAAATACTAGGTTGAAATTGCATGATTATTTGCATTTTTTTTTTTTTTTAACTTGTTATATCTTATTATAATTTGTATAATGTTTATGTATCCCTATTATAAACAACTATGTTTCTTGGGGTAATAAAGACAATCAATCAATCAATATTCAACTTTAAATTTTGAAATATGTCTGCAATTTTTTATATTATGTGGTAATTTATTAAATTCAGCTAGAGCAGCGTGAGTAAATTTTTTTTGGCCAATTATAGAAGTAGCAGAATCAAGATGAAATAAGTTTGATTGTCTCGTGTGATGACCATGAATTTCTGAGTTTCTTATCAAAATAAAATTGGATTTCAGATTATTGTTTATTATATTAAATGAAACTTTAAGAGAATCTATTCTATATAATTCATCCAATGAAAATTTTTCTGTTATGGCATACAGATCATTTGTTGGGATATCAAATGAGAGGCGATACAATTAATACTTTCAGTGCTTTCTTATAAAGTGCAGATATTTTACTGAAATAATTTTTTGAACAAGATCCCCAAACGTTTATCATATATGTAATACGACTGAGTATATGAGAATGAAGTACTATGTTTATGACTTTTTTGTCAAGTTTAGGACATCTTCGCAAAGCTCCAATGATCGGAGATATTTTTTGTATCAGAACCTCTATATGCTTGTCCCATTTCACTTTTTCATCAATCCACATACCAAGATACTTTATTTGTGTAGTTCTTTTCAATACTTGATTTTTAATTTGGAGATTGAGACTAATATTCTGTTTATTTTTTTGATGGAATATTATATATTCAGTTTTATTGGTATTAATTGATAAAATGTTTGAATGAAGCCATTTTTCAAATTTTTTCAAATCTTCGTTAATAATATTTTCTATAATGATGGGGTTTTTGTTTTCGTGTGATATTTGAATCATTGAGGTGTTCAAGATTTTTTTCCCAAGTTTAGTTAATTGTTGCTGTAATTGTTAATGATGCCTATAGTATTTCAATTACAAGTTTAATATTTTTCGAAAAACAATTATAGTAGGATTTTGTATGTTTTTATTCATGAATCGACATTTTTCTCGAAAACTAATCACTTCAGAGCAATGAGGTAAGAGGACCTTTTTTGTGTGAAAGATATTGGCGCTTCAAAATGTGCTTTGAAAATTACAATTCCTCCAGTGGCATGAAAGTTTGAGGAGTTTAACGCTTACGAGGCTTTGACATGTCCAAGGAAATTGATCAAGAGTCTTAAAAGTAATCATTATTATTGATGAAGTGTGTACAGAAGCTCAGCTCCGTAGCTCAAACGGTTCCTGAGATGAGAGCAAGAAACTGAATTTTTTTTTTCAAGCCTTGTATATTGAAAACGGAAGCCCGGAGAAAAATTTCGTAAAGGAAAAATATTTCTCTTTTTTTATGAGGAATCTACAGTTTTCCGTTGTGACACTTATTTGTTAACCCCCTGTATAGTTCCATCTTTATTCAATGTTTTTTAGGTTATATTGAGGACATTGGCGTATCATACGTAATTTCCACATTTTTTTTGACTCCATGTATCTTGAAAACGGAAGCCCAGATAAATATTTCGTAGAGGAAAAAAAAATTTTTTTTTTATGAGGAATCTAGAGTTTCCTGTTGTGACACTCATTTGTTAACACCCTGTATAACTGTTTCACAAACACTTTAGAGTGAGAGGAGCCGAGGATCTGTCCGTACCCGTATTTACATAAAGGGACCCTAGTGGGAATAATCAAGGAAAGAAGTATTTACACGAACGAACCTTCTCCTCCTCCTCTTTCTTCCCCTGCTCCTCGAACTTCTCCACCAGAGCCTTCACTTTCTCCCCGCTCACCGCCACAGCCTTCTTCTCCTTGCCGACCTTCCCCTCCGCCGTCACTGTCGTGGTCGACCTCTCCCGCTTCCCCCTCCCGATCTCCTTGGCCTCCGATTGGTCGGTCGTGTCGCTCGAATACGTGTCGCTTGCCTCCGCAGCCAATAAGGCTTGCGCCTGCGGTTGAAAAATTAAGGTTTACGTTGTCAAGTTTTATCTATTATGCTGAGCATGTGCCCGCGTTTAGTTTGAGCTTGGAATAGACTAATACAGTGTGTCCCACTTACCATGCTCACCATGGGTATCTTTTTAACGGCGAGAGATACGAGGTCGGTTAAATGACACCAAATGTGGAGTTTGTCAAGGCCAACTATAATGTGAAAAAATATTTTGATAAAATCTATTCGTTTTTGTTTTATACGCAAAAAACGGATTCATCATCATTTTCATGTCTCCTCGATAACTTCTTTATTTATGAAAATATTCAAAAAGGAATTTCACATTCTCATGGCAGTTTTTCAAAGTGATTTCGAAAAAAATATGAAATTTATACCAACTCTTCTAGAATTTGAGATATCAGCACCAACTTTAGTTTTTCAAATGTAGGTCATAGCTCACTATGACTTAGTTACAAATAACTTTTTTTTCTCTCATAGATGATGTGTTGCAGTAATAGTTTTGTGTTGATAACAACGGAGTTATCGTCATTTATACAAAAACAAAAAATTGTTTGGAAGCCAACATCTTGAATTTATAAATTTTAATAAAAAAAATTATGATCTCCGACCTCAGAAACCCCCACTTACCAATTTTGAATGGAATCGGACCAAATCTTGTCCGCCATCTTGGAGCAGCCATTTTTTTTATTTCAACAAAAATTCCATAATGTATTGTCACCGAAATCATGAACACCTGCCAAATTTCAAGTTAACCGAAGTTATGGAATTTTTGTTGAAATTAAAAAAAATGGCTGCTCCAAGATGGCGGATAAGATTTGGTCCGATTCCATTCATGATTTTTTCGTTAAAATTTATAAATTCAAGATGGAGGCTTCCAAATAATTTTTTGTTTTTGTATAAATGACGATAACTCTGTTGTTATCAACACAAAACTATTACTGCGACATATCATCTGTAAGAGAAAAAAAAGTTATTTGTAACTAAGTCATAGTGAGCTATGACCTACATTTGAAAAACTGAAGTTGGTGCTGATATCTCGAATTCTAGAAGAGTTGGTATAAATTTCATATTTTTTTCGGAATCACTTTGAAAAACTGCCATGAGAATGTGAAATTCCTATTTGAATATTTTCATAAATAAAGAAGTTATGGAGAAGACATGGAAATGATCAAAATCTGTTTTTTGCGTATAAAACAAAAACGAATAGATTTTATCAAAATATGTTTTCACATTATAGTTGGCCTTGACAAACTCCACATTTGGTGTCATTTAACCGACCTCGTATCTCTCACCGTTGAAAAGATACCCATGGTGAGCATGGTAAGTGGGACACACTGTATAGGGACCAAGGAATCTGTGACCAAGGTTTAGTTTTCGATCTCTTTATTCATAAATCCCAAGAAACATTGTAGTTAATTTATACAGGGATATGATATAACATAAAATTAAATATTTAGCATGATAGGTATAAGATAGATAGATATTCGTGGGAGTCAATGTTACCAGGTGGCGCTCGGTTTTCATCGTTCCATGTCAAAGCCACTTCAAAACTGGGGGAAAACAAACTCAATCCTCACTCAATCCAATTAGTGCCATTAGTTTGTGTACTTTGTACTGATAAGAGTAATAAGTTTTTACATTTCTTGACATTAATTGACAATATTCGATCGAAAACGCCTGTTGTAGATGTTCTTTTGGAAGATATTTTGCTCTATTTAGATGGAAAAAGCCTACCAGTGGTGGAAGGAGAAGCAGTTCTCCGTGCTAATCATGTGATTTTGTGTGAGGCAGAAGACTTGAACATAAGGCACATTCCTGCACTTTGTCTACAAACTTCCGCGATGAAATCTTCCCTACATGAAGTAAAATTGAAGTTGGGGTCCAGAGGAACTCCTGTAGAACAATGGATTTGTATTTGTTCCTGCAAAGCAGGACAATCTGGGTATTGTTAGCTGTTCTTTTATATGTCAATTTATTTGCTCGTCATAATTAGTTTGAATTGTTTGAACTATCTCCAATTCTTCACCCGTTCACTGTTCACTAAACTGATAAAAATGTAATAATATAACAAATTCAACCAACTCAACCATCATCACTACCAACAGTGCCAACATATTTATGTCATTGACAAGTTTGACTACAGCTACAGCAAGCTGAATGCAATGTAGTCTATGCACTTTATCCATAGACAACAGTTTGTTTTCCCTCAGTTTGAAGATCGTATTATGTGACCTAGATGTCGCCCACTTCGTGAATCTCGCGAATAATATGATTGTTAAGGAAGATTATTATTCATATTCGTTCGTTTCCAAATACACCTTGTATGTTGTTAAAAAAGAGAAATAGTGACAGTGTCAGATAATTAATTAAAGGAAATGATTTGTAAATGTCACTGAATATATAAAGAAATTAGGGTTCAAGGATTGTTCTCTCAAGAAAGTGCTTTTCCAATGGACTGGCATTGATAAATATAAAATTGATTGCTCAAAGTTGGTAAACACATAACACAGTACATGTGACTGTATTTTGAGAACACTTTTAGCAGTGGATTAACAAATGAAGGTACACAATGTTGATAAACAATATTTTGTTCATGAATGCTAGTATTCTATTGATACCCTGTACCTATGAAAGGTTTGCATGTAGCTCCAAAGAACTGTTATCCAGGTTTTTGCATTCAAAATTTATAATACATCCATACATTTTTTTCAAAAGTACGCTTTGACAAAAAGTATTCAGTATTCATCGAGCCATTTATGAAACTTTCAGTTTCTCTCTCTTCTTACGTTGTTTAAAGGCATTGAAGCGATCGAATGTTATAATAGTTTGTTCTCCATAAGTGGAAAACGGCAAATCAATAAAACATTTCAACGGTCACTATGATGCTATGATCATTTATAGAGACCCTGTACTTTACAAATACCCTGATGAATGGTCAAAATACAGAATCCAGTGATAACTGTACTAGTGCAAAATTTTTGATTCTATTGGTCAGGAGCATCAACAAATTCATGGATATTCATCCTGAATTGTTAAATCTGATGTGGAATTTTCTTTCACAACATACCTGAGCTCTTTTCTTTTCTATGCGTTTAGACTTGAGCGGTTCGGCTATGGGGGTCTGCGCCACAGGCGAGGGAGGCTTCTTCTCCTCTGTCGATTCTTCTTCCTTTTCTGGGCCCGGGCTGTTGATCGGAGTGCTTCTGTCCTTGTCTCTGATGAGACTGCGACCCTACAAAATACGTCACCCGATTTAATATGAATTATCAATTTACTCACTACCAATATGTAACTTGTTTTTCTTATTTTAAATTTCAGTTTTATAATCATAAAACATAATATCAATATAACATCGCTATAAAACAAAGAATGGTATCTACATGTTGATAATATTCATCCAATAAGCCTTTTCATCTAGATATATTTTTAAGACGCATGCGCTCGTTTTTAGATCCAATAATTTATTGGGTGATACAAAGGTGAAATCTCATTGGCTATAGTTCCAACACAAAATGCTGATTGGCCATTTCGAATATGGCGGGTATTATTGACGTTCTGTCAAATGTCAACAGCCATGGGCATTGGTCATTGACAAACAGCAATAACAATATAGTATTTTTGTTTTTTGTATTCCTGGTGTGTATCAATTGTATTATAACAATTTAATTCCAAAAAACGTTACTTGTGTGTTTCGGCCTCATTGAAAAGGATGCGTCAAAGTTGACAGTTCGCAATATGTACGACAACCGAGACCACAATATTCAAAGATGTGTACACGTCCAACTCTTGCAATGCTTGTGCATTGCATTTTTTAAATATTTTCAATTGAAATATGTACATTGTATATACTTGTAATATTTAACATGAGAAATTGGGGATTATAAACTTGTCACAAAAGTGTCAATTTTGACAAGAATCCGATAAATTTTCTAGGGTTATAAATAAATAAACAACTTGGTTCGGAATAGAGACCACTAGCTTACTGGAAATGTGGTCGATAAGGGCGATTTTCGTAATTTTATCTATATTAATATTATAAAGAGGAAAGATTTGTTTGTATTGAGTAGGCTCCGAAACTACTGGACCAAATTGAAAAATTCTTTCACCATTAGAAGTCCACATTATCCCTGATGAACATAGGCTACTTTTTACCGCGGGAAAATGCTTCATTCCTACGGAAAAACGGGTAATAGGAGAGCGGGTAGTGAGAATCATCCTACCATACTCATCTTTTCTTCTTCAACTTCTAAACGACTGAACCGATTGGGTTGAATTCTATATGGGTATTTCGATGGTTTCCTGGATGTTTTAAAAATACAATTAGAAGCGGCAGGTGGCGCTGCTGTTGGTACCTCAACCACTAAACGGCTTGAACGATTGAGTTTGAATATGCAAAACAACAACAAAAATACAAAAGATTCGCGATAGAAAATGAGCGTAGGCCATCTATCGGAGTTCTTGAAAACTGCCAAAGCGGCATGTTTACTTTGTTTTCATTGGTTTACATTTGTTTTTTGTTTGTGCTTATTAGTCACATCATCAAAACAAACCGCACAGAAGTGTTCAAGTTGTTGCCGTCAGGTAGGGTGACGTGTTATTTTCTATCGCGAATAGTGAGAGAATAAAAATAGGTGTAAGTAAATAAGAGTGACTATAGGTCAGCTCGAAAAATTTTGAAAAATAACAAAAATATGTACTTTAGATACGCACATAGCTCGGAAGGACTGCAACAAATGTTTTTTTTTAATGGCCAGTCAGATAGTTTACAATGAACAGACAATATTATGAATGTGTCAAGTCGTTGGTCCGACCACAGTGGTGAGACCAGAATAGCCAATGGCTGATATTCCCAAAACAGCTGCTTGGTCAAACTAATGGTTAGACTTCATACTGAACGTGTGTGCCCGTTCAAACCAAAGACTTGACACAGCTTATACATATAACTAGGTTTTCTTTTGAAACGATAATGCCCATAAATTTCCAGACATATTCACCTTATTTTTCTTCGTGGGCCTCGTGTGGTTAAGCATGGTCACTCCGAGCGTCCGATAAAAGGTCTCGTAGCTGGACAAGCACTTCTTGTACACCGCCTTCACCTGAGAGAATTATACTTTGTTTTTACATGAAATACATCATGGTTACAAAGCTTGTAAGTTAACAGTACCCAAGGTCAATATAAAATAGTAAGAAGAAGAAGAAGAAGAATAAAACAAGCAATAGTACAAGTTGACAGACATTTTACAAATGTAAATTGAAATAAAATCTTATACAAAAATGGAAAATTATACATAGATTTTCGAGAGAATTATACAATATCGCAGCCGCTGCCTAATATCCTGAAGCTATTTTTTCCTTGATAACAAAATATTCCTAAGCATATTTATGCAGTTTTCATTCTCAATGTAGCCAGAAGCAAATGTCAAATCATGGAGAACACATTTGAATGCGGTCATATCATTCACGTATAGTAGAAAAATAATTGGAACAAGGACAGAGTTCTGTGGATCCACACAACACTTTTTTGTTTATTCTTTCTTCAGCTTTCTTCTTTAGCTTTCACAATTTCTATATGTTTTGTTTCGTAGCTTATCATTCAATTTAGTACTGATTCAAAATGAAATGAACAATTACAGCATCTTTATATGATAGAATTTGCTATGAAGCTTGGCAACTCAGCATCGGGTGTGTGTATATCGCTAGCGCTCTCTAAAATCCAAAATTGCAGTGTTTAACTGCTTCCTGAACCAATTGAAGTGTACCAGGACAGGGCTAGCACAAACCACGCCCACCGTAATATCTCATCTTCGAAGTACTTAGGCAAAACTCAGAGACTATTTATCCTTAACGAACTAACCTATCCCTGATTGCAATATTTTCGAGGAAGGAAAACCAGAATATAGTGTAGAAACACATTGATTAATAATATATTTCAAAAGTTAAGTTCTTCAACAAAATTGAATGAAATGAGACTGTTTATCCTAAACGCACTAACCTATTTGACTTCAAATATTTTCTGAAAAAGGAGAACCAGAATGAAGTAAAAAAACATTGGTGAAAAAAAAAAAGTTCAAGTTCACAGCGATTCAAACCATGGACCTTCAGACTGAAAGTCGACAGCGCTAACCAGTAGACCATTTGGGTATATGAATTTACTGCGTACAAGAGATTGACAACGAGATAGCTTCAGTCGAATTCGTGTCAAAATCATAAAAGTGTATTCTTGCGTTGGAGCACAGTATATTTAGTGCGATGTGCTGACTCCGAGTATATCGGTAATGTTTGGAGATATGACGTATTATGGTGGGCGTGGTTTGTGCTAGCGTGCAGTATATTTAGTAAAATCGCAGCCCGACGCAACCACATCACGCAATCCAGGTGAGCATTTCCTACCATCCAACGCAATTTCATATATTCTTTGGTGAACTCAAGATAGTTTACCTGATTGAAGGTGTTCTGGTTGTTGGGCAGGTACAGCCGGGCAGTGACCGTCCGCCACTTGTTCTGATTGGTCACGCGGTTGTAGCCGCCCAACTTTTGGACGACGCGGAACAGCCGGTGCAGGTCGATGTCCCTGTGGGCAATCGTGGGCGTTTTGTTCAGAGGCGTGCCGGCGTCGTCCATGAATTTGTACAGCTGCGCCACGAATCGGTCTTTTTCTTCACAAGGTTCATCGTCCGAGCTCTGAGGGGAGTTATGGAATAAAGCAGGCGCGTATCTAAGGAGGGGTAGAGGGGTTAATACCCCCCCCCAGAGCCCCTCCTCAATCCTCGAACAATATTCACAAAAAATACAAAATCTTAATAAATTGATAACCAGGACACAGTAGTTTAATGTTACTCAAATATATAACTATTATCGAAAACACATTATAACTCCTATTATTTTTCGCCGGTATCAGTATGGTACCCATAGAATGACCATATAAGAGTCTCATATACGGGTGGTACCTACTACCTACCCTATTCGTCGAACACCACGTGCAACATCTGTGATTAAATTTGTTTCTCCTTGACCAGAGATAAGTTATCCACAACTTGTGGCCACTGGCAGCACCCTGGCCAGGGTTGCCATCTTGGCGGTTTTGTCGCTAAATCTAGAGTTTTCAGGGTAGGTGAATGCTACATTTCAACTTGATTTGCGACGTGTCGGAATTCTAAAGTTTTTCAACATAGTCAGAGCTAGGGTCCCTTAATGTAAACTGACGTATTTGTCATCTCTACAGGGTACGGACAGATCCTCGTCTCCTCTCACTCTAAAGTGTTTGTGAAACAGTTATATAGTTCCATCTTTATTCATTTCTGGGGATAAACACTAGATTTTTGGCATTTGTTGTTTTTTAGGTTATATTGAGGTCACTGGCGTATCATACGTAATTTCCATATGGAATTCCTGATTCAACTATACCAAATTATAGATGAACAATCCTCTAGTTATGAGGGCGCCGTACATTATGCTATTTCTCGGCAAGTTTGAGGCAATGCAATTTTCTCGCAATTTTTCTCAATTTATTGCGAGTCGCCTTACATTGAGATAATTCTGTCATATTTTCTTGTTCATATTCACTATTTCCAGGTTTTTTGAGCCTTCAATGTACTTTTTGAGGTTATTTGGTGTTTCAGGCCACGTTTTGGAGAAAATAAGTATTTTATCAAGATGCTACGATGAATATTACTGAAAATTTTACTAAACTTGCCTTGAAATTGCAGGAAAAATAGGACTGGTCCTATTACGAAACCTGCATGAAACTTGCCGTGAAATATCATAGACGCATGCGCATTGTTCGATTCAAAATTGCATTGCATCGAACTTTAATAATTTTTGAGAGGTAGCTTAGGGAACATATGAATTTTACTGAAAGCTCAATATATTTCACCAAAAGAGACTGTTCTTAGGCTGTATACAAGGGTTGACTGAATTGACTGAATGAATTCTGATTTCAAACTGAGCAGTAGTTTATCTATGAGCTGAATGAGCTGAGCCTTATGATTTAGAAATGGTGAGAACCTTGATGTGAATATCTAAACTACTGTACTCATGTAATGTGTGCTAAATATATTTTCGGAAATACAACTCGAAGAATTCATGGAGTGACTGATATCAACTATGTATAAAACTTCGTCTAGGACGAAAAGTAGGCTGATAAAAAGTTATTCGTAAAATGTGCAGGGAAATAAAGAAAAGAATATACTTCACCTCCATGTTATACATAATATGATTCTTCCGTCTTCCTTGAATAAGAAGTCATTTTCAAATAATTTATTGATGAAAGTAACAAACAAGTAGGTATACGCAGTATAACTTATAGGCACGTTATTTTCACTCTTGCATCCTACATATTTTCTATTTGTGATAGAGTAGTAATTATATAAACTAATGGATCCGTCATCTTGGATTTTTCAATTTTGACGGAACAATCATTATCTCTTACCCCGAAAACCGCCAGATATCAATTTTGAATAGAATCGGATCTTCATCACAAAACTTGTTCGCCACATGATCATCCTCAACAATTAAATACCCTGTACATACCAATTATTAAAATTTCGAATGATTTTCTGTAGCGCCCATGGATGTGACGTGACAGCAATGTCAGGGATGCCAGTAGACAAAACTAAAGTCTCTAGATCATTAAAAAAGAATACAGCTATGATCTGTCCGTACCCTGTTAAGATGACTTTAACGTCAATTTCCATCAAGGGACCCTAGCTCTGACTAGGGTCCCTTGATGGAAATTGACGTTAAAGTCATCTTAACAGGGTACGGACAGATCATAGCTGCATTCTTTTTTAATGATCTAGAGACTTTAGTTTTGTCTACTGGCATCCCTGACATTGCTGTCACTTCACATCCATGGGCGCTACAGAAAATCATTCAAAATTGTAATGTACAGGGTATCTACTTGGGGAGGAAGATCATAATTATGGCGAACGAGTTTTGTATTGGAAGGTATCTGGGGTTTTCCTACTTTTCGTCCTAGACGAAGTTTTATACATAGTGTGATATTAGTCACTCCATAAATTCTTCTCCGAGTTGGATTTCCAAAAATAAATTCAGCACACATGATATGAGTACAGTAGTTCAGATACCCACATCAGGGTTTTCACCATTTCTCAATCATAAGGCTCAGCTCATTCAGCTCATACTTTAACTACTGCTCAGCTTGAATTCATTCAGTCAATTCAGTCAACCCTGGTATATACAGTCTAAGAACAGTCTCTTTTTGGTAAAATTTATTAAGCTTTTAGTACCAATTTTATGTTCCCTACCTCGCAAAGATTATGCTGGAGTAGTAAACTCTAAAACTACAGGCCCATTGCCCTGTTATCAGTAATCTCCAAAGTGATGGAGAAAGCCATCAATATTGAGCTTATCAAATATCTGGAGAGCTCAGGAATCATCAATGATAGACAATACGGCTTTCGCCACCGAAGATCTACTGGAGATCTACTTGCCTACGTCACCCATTTATGGCAATCTTCAATTGAAAAACACGGAGAATCTCTAGCTGTCGCGTTGGACATATCGAAAGCATTCGACCGTGTTTGGCACGAAGGACTCCTCCACAAACTACCATCATACGGCTTACCACCTCAGCTATGCCATTTCTTATCGAGTTTTCTTTCAGGCAGATCGCTTCACGTGGTGGTGGACGGTGTATCGTCCGATACCATTGGCATCAATTCCGGCGTTCCACAAGGATCAATTTTGGCACCAACATTATTCCTGCTTCATATCAATGATCTGTTGGGAGTAACAACTTGTCCCATCCACAGCTTTGCAGATGATAGTACCCTCCATACTGCGTTCTCTTCCAGAATTCCCATTTCTTCCCAGGAAACTAAGAACTCACGGCGCAGGCAGGTCAATGCTGTCAATGAAGATCTTGCTGAAATCACAGCCTGGGGAACGAACAACCTAGTTGAATTCAACGCCACCAAAACTCAAGCCTGCATTTTCTCTAGAAAGGCGGAACTCAGTATGCCCGATATTGTAATGTCTGGCTCCACCATCCCCACCAAGCCCACCATATCTATGCTCGGTATTTCCATCAGCAACACTCTTTCATGGGATAATCATGTCAGATCCATCGCAAAAGCTGCTTCACAAAAACTCGGATTCTTGTTCCGTGCGAAGAGCTACTTTACACCTCAACAGCTTCTTATGATCTACAAAGCGCAGATACGGCCTGTTCTAGAATACTGTTCCCACATATGGGGTTCAGCACCAAAACATACGCTGATGCTCTTAGATTCCATCCAGAGAAGAGCCATTCGCCTAGTGGGTGACGCCACACTCACTCACTCTTTAACATCATTGGAACACCGTAGAAAGGTCGGCGACCTTTCACTTTTCTATCGATACTTCCACGGGAAATGTTCTTCGGAAATCTCTGCAATCATCCCTTCACTAGCAATACCAATCAGACGAACTAGACAAGCCCAGTCAGCACATCCTTTCGTTGTCAACCTCGAAAGATGTCGAACAGCTCTTTATCAAGACTCCTTCATTCATAGAACGGCTAAGCTCTGGAATTCATTGCCTGTGGAAGTATTCCCAACAACATATAATCTCCAAAAATTCAAAAAAAATTCCAATACCTACCTCCTGTCCCTATCCTCCCTAGGAACGCACGATGTTCTTTGAACATTATAGGGATTCCCTTTCGTGCGCTCCAATCGATAAAAAAAAAAAAAAAAAAAAAAACTATATCTTGGTATAGTTGAATCAGGAATTCCATATGGAAATTACGTATGATACGCCAATGACCTTAATATAACCTAAAAAACAACAAATGCCAAAAATCTAGTGTTAATCCCCAAAATTGGATAAGGATGGAACTATATAACTGTTTCACAAACACTTTAAGAGTGAGAGGAGACGAGGGTCTGTCCGTACCCTGTTAAGATGACAAATACGTCAGTTTGCATCCAGGGACCCTAGTCATAGCCATTTATATGGAGACATTCTGATCACCTGAATTGATGATGACGGATATGAATTCATATTGGAACATTCGAGACGAAGAGATAAGAAGAGAAGGGAATGACAGCTGACAGGGTTTGTTTTCATCATTGGTGCTACTTTTGAATAAAATTTTGTCCTTTTCGTATATTCTATATGGTTTGACAAATTATATGATGCTCGTGAAGATTTCATTTTGCCTAAATCAGTACTGAAGTCGCAGATCTGTATGATGTTGATCTAGAAATATGAGTTGACATGATATGCCATGTTTATAAATGTGTGATTTGATCAAAGATATACTTCAAAGACGACCGAGAAATGCATTTTGTGATGTACCAATGTATGTACCTACCTCATAATACCGAATGTAATTTCATAGGAAAATTTATCTTCATTTTGTTTTTTATGATGTGCTTTTATTATTCTGAACAGATTTTGAATGAATATAGTTTTCAGAAAATGACAAAATATGATTAGAAATGTTGCTAGATCACGAAAAAATGTCGCTGAATTTTCAGCTTTCAGCTCGCTATGGCGACTTCTAGCGTTATTTTTTCAGCAGCTGGCAACTCTGACCCTGGCAGTAGCCGTTTGTACGTTCGTTGATGACGGTCTAATTTATGAGTTTTCTTTTTTTGTTCTTTCTGTTTCAATGTTCTAATTGATTGAATAAGTAATAAGATAACCTTGTAATATGAGATTGTTTGGTGTACCGGCACCAGCACTATTTTTGTTCCCGTATTCATTGGTTGTTTGGTTCATTTTTATTTTTTAAAATACTCATTATCAAGTTTAGGTATGTGAATACTGAATATAGTTGGTGCCCTAAGATGTCCAAAACTTATCCCAAATATAGCAAATACCCATTCTATACTCTCACATCCTTAGTAAAATGAACTATCTCATGAATATTTGGGGTTCATATGCCAAAAATAGTTTTAACAAAATATCTGTACTATATAAAAAAGTATCAAAAGTACTGTATCCTCTTCCATATGACACCCCATCAAATCAACTTTATGAAGAAACAAATACATTTTCTTTGGAAGAGCACTATCTGATAAAAACTCTCAAAATTTCTTTTGATATTATCAACAAAAACCTCAAATCCAACTTCATATTGGTAAGGAATTCTCAAATCTATGAACATCATACTACACAATATGATTTGTGTTATCTTGATGCTGCTAATTCTACACTTGGCCAAAAAAAGTTCACTCAAGGAGCTGTCTCAGAATTCAATAAATTACCTGATGATATCGAATATTGCACAAATATCACACAATTCAAAATTAAATTCAAGAAACATATCCTCTTGCAAAGAGAAAATCATACCTGAGTGAATGATTTCTCATTCACTAATTTATTTCATCATGACATAATGTACTTTTCATGAGTTTTTGTTTTTTTTTATTATTTTTGAATCTGTTGTTTATTTCATTAACTTAGATTTAATAAAGCAGATATGAATCTGTCTGATTATTCATGTTATTTCATTGTAAATGTTAATAACATATATTTATATGAGATTCAATGTAATGTTTATAGCAAAGAATGAAATAAATATATCAACATTATAGATTGCCATCTTGTTAACTTACATCAGTGAATCTGTCACTTTCACTATCCATTGATTGTGAGTTGAATAATGCACTTTTTTCCCAGTGAGGTGGCAATTCATTGTGATCTAAGAACCTCACAGCTTTCTGGATAGCCTCAGCCAAGTGATAATTTTCCACTTTTTCAGCCATACTTCTACTGAATTCTGACACTTCTTTTTTAGGTACAGTATAACTGAAATGAAAATTAAACATTAAATAATTAGATGCAAACTGAAGCAAAAAAACTTGACAAAACATGTAGTTTGTTGAAATACTACTCACTATCTTCCATCTTTGAAGGACCTTATCAAATATTCATCTTTCATGTTGATTCTCACAGTTGGTTGAGCAGAAGGAATCACTACAAGTCCTGGGAACCAGTTGTCTTTACTGCGTTTTTTATCAGTCACCTCAACACTCACAACTCTCTTCAAATCCAGAAGATATGCTTCCAGGTCTGGTTCATTTTCTTCTTCCACTTCCCCATCACTACTATCATCCCTAAAAACATAAAAGCATGTTCAATAAACATCATCTAATTGGTTTCCATAAAACATTGCAGCTGCAACATTATTTCAGAGATATAATAATATAAGTATGACAGAAAATGGAAAATATGGCCATACAGTGTTCAAATGATGATTTGATTAATCAAGGAAAGGAATGAAAAAAATATGAGGGAAGTATTTTCCTTTTCCTCTCAGAATTGAAAAACCTGGAGAAAAATGTATTGGATTTTTTGATATTGGAAAAGAGAAACATGAGTTTGAAGATGTCACTAATAAATGTTCATACTTACTTGGGTTGTCTGCTTCTTCTACCTCTTCTGCCCCCCACAACTGGATTGCCAAAATGTTCAGGATGGGTAAGTGGTAGTTGGTCCAAAGTTTCACTTTCATTGAAATGCCTTCCACTTTTCAGACACAAAGCAGTCCTACGCAAAGTCGTAATGTCTCCATCATCAAAAACTGAAAAAAAAATGAGATATTCATGAATGGTATAATAATTATCAAAGAATCAACATAGATAATTGATTCTTACCAACAGTATACTGGCTACAGTCTTGAATTTTTGTAATGGTTGCATCCACCAAATCCTTTCTATCTGGATGTTTGGCTTGAACAAGTTGGCCTGCTCTCAGAGTCCCTTTGATTTGTTCATCACTTAGTACAGCAGTTCCCAAGCCCATTTTGTAAGTTACCTGAAGGCAAAGAAGATTTACATCAAAATATGACTAGAAGCTACTTCCTATGTGATACTTACCCTGCATTTTACAATACGAACTACTTTGCTCACTTTAGCTTCACAAAAGGCACCCTTGTACTTGGCACTTACTGCTGTCCCCACAGATAAATAGGGAGGATCATCTGCCTGCTGGAGAAAGTAATTGAAATAGAGTGGCTTTTTTTACACAGAGTAATGAAGGCACTTACCATCTTTTTAATTCTCCACACTATTTTAAATGGTTTATATATCTCGTGAATGAACTTGCACCCAAGGAACTAAAATGTGAAAATATATGTAATATAATGTAAAAATCATTCATTGCACAAGAAATATTCCACCTGTACAATCTTTCTGCAGGAAGATTAATGGGTATAAACCCGCGATTATAATAATAATATTATATTAACTTCTCAAAAGCTCTAAGCACCACATTGAAATCATTATTTCTACTTGAAAATACGAATATTACACCTGAAAATCGAAAAATACTTCAGGAAATCCAATAAGCAACTGTTGTTTACAAGTCTGGGTGACATTTTGTATTAGGAGGTTGTTTGTCAAGTGTTGCCAAGTTTCTTGAAAAAACGCAACACTGGAACAAGAATTTCTTCTTATTATTTTCTTTTCATTATAACATTGTCTTTGAGCATATAAGAACTATATCCTGTTAGGAAGTAAGGTTGTGAGAACTAAAGCTCTTCAAGACATCTGCTTGACCGGCATTTGCCAGTAACGTAACTTATACCTATACGTATCTGCAATGTAGTTCTTTTCTTTTGTAACTGTATCTTTTGTGGGTTATGGGCTTTATGAGTTAACGTCGAATTCGTGGCGTTTAAATTTTAAATGTTGATAGCTGTCAACGTCAGTAATTGACTTGACAGTCTTGACATTCTTGACATCTTATTGTGATACATTTTTAATATTTGGGAAATTTCGAATAATTTTTATAATAAAATATTATTAGAATGTAGATTTATAGTGAAAAAGTGTTGTGAACTTAATTCCCAGGCAGCTATGCACCAAAGGAAGTTAGCAACTGTAAGTTTTTTTTCTATCATAACCTATTATTTTTGGTGCCATGTCTTCAGAACAAAAATTGTGGTCCACAAAGTGAGTGAAACTTTGTTTCAAACGAGACCAACGTTTCAATGCATAGTAGTAGAAAATATAAGGGCCAATAAAGTGATACCTATTTCTCTCGACAGTTCTAATCTAATATTTGGATTAAAATTAATATTCTCCTTGAGCTCCATGAAGTATCATCATGGATCTGTTGCCCAACCCAGTAGAACATCCAGTTTTGTTAACCCTATACAGCTTCAAGTAACAAGTAGATATATCTCGAGAGATACCTAACTATAAGTTTTTGTAGTTTGCACTTACTGATGACTCCTTCCTTGCAAATCATTTTTGCTGCAAACTTTTTTTTGTCCTGAAACAGAATCACAAATTGATGTAATGTTTACAATATTCTACTATATGAAACAAGCCAGTCTGCAAAAGCAATTCAATCAATGTAATGACAATTATTCGGCTACATTGATATTTATTAACTAATTGTAGGTACCTAAGTACCAATAAAGAAAATGAGACTAAATTACACACAAAATATACTTTATTACATTTTACATTATACACTGGATTCAACAGGTACTTAACAATAAGAAATAAGTTTTTTTAGGTATTAACTTGGCTGTTACTGTATGAAATGGTAAATGTAAAAAACACTTGACAAATGATGATATTTCCATGAAAATGTTGATAACACAAAACATGACAAGTTTCCTTTATTTCGGACAATATTGAATAATATCTACATTTAAATTCGGTCCCCAAGGAGGGCAATCTCCGGCACCGTCGGCTGGGAAAAATTGAATACTAAATCCTATAGTATTTTTGATGATTATACCTATACAGTTTTACTTAATTTGCTCTCCCTTGATAAATTAAAATGTTCTGGTTAGGAGAATGGAAAATTTAAAAATTATATTGTTCTTCTATTTAGTTGATATTGGTTGAAATTAGAAGAAAAAAAAATCGAATTTGATGAAGACAGTAGTTATTCAACTAAGAGTGAGACTACAGTGGGCCCTATGCAAAATTTATTTTCCTACAAATCGACTGAGAAGTTGTCATTTTTGTTTGTAATTAGCTCTTGAAGTTGACACAATAAAATGATAATATGCATGCTTTTAGTGTCTAGGAGCTAAAGTTGAAGTTTATCTCCTAGTATAAAAAATGAGTAATCAGCTGACAGTTGATATATAGGATAGCAGCTGACTCTGACGTCGTCAAATGAGTCACAATAGTGGGTATTTCACTGAATTTTATTAATTAAATATTAATTATCTTGTTTGCAGAAAAATTATCATGTTTGGCAATTAAATTTCGGTTTTCAAACAAAGTGTTACCTTCGAGGTTACCTTTGATCCTAATAAAACAATGTAATAATTTCAACTCATTAAAATTAAATACACAGTGTGTATTTAGCACCCCCTCAAATGATTGTATACTAATTTTCATACAAAAATATTTGATATTAATAATTACGCTAATGTGTGGATCTTCTACTGACTTCGGTCTGGACTTGTGAAGTTTTTGCTCCATAATACCCCCAAAGAAAAAATCGAGGAGAAAATCCAGTGGTTTCAGGTCTAGGGATCTTGGGAGCCATTGAATGAGAGGAGAGAGGACTATCGCGACCAATCTATATCTATACAGATTCAATGTGATTTCTGATTTAATAATAATTGTAATAATAAAATGTCTTCATTTTATTCATCCTCGGCGAAGTCCAGCTCATTAGCTGTTCTCAATCAACCGAGTACCAATAGTACCGTTGTATACCATGAATGACACATAAAATGATAAAATACATTCATTAAATTCATAATTCATAAAAACAATAGTAAAGTACATCTATGAAATTCATGAGTCGTCATAGATATAAAAAATACATTCATGAAATTTACAAATAAGTGTAGAATAGCATGGATTTTAGTAAGTAGTAGTAGAAGTGAGTGATTTTTGACTCTTAGGAATTACTTTTCACTTCACAGGGTGTTTCAAAATCCGACGGTCTTCAAGTGTCCAGTTCTCGAGATACAGGGTGTTGAAGTTGAGAAATAAAAATAGTTTTTTTTGCAATAACTTAAGAATGATTGACTATTTTGCATTCAATTCGATATGGGTTCATCTTCGAATTGGTCATATTTTGAATAGATAGCCATTCCAGATATTTTATCCAGTGCTGCGCTACAGGGGGGTTGTGGTAACTCTTCCTCCCATATTTTCCCCGCCACTGATGAAATTTCGATTATTTTCAATTTATCGAATTGATTGTTTCGTCCAGAAATGGATTTGCACCAGGTTTTGGGATGAGGTAGGTATATTTTGGGATTCGATGTTTCTGTGAATACTATAAAAGAAAAGTGTAGCATTATCAATCTAGATTGTTCATGGATTTGTTTTATGGTACTGTCATGCAAAGCGTGTTAGGATTGAGGGAAATATGATCTCCATTTGATTCCATTTCCAATGTAACCAACATAAAATTTCCATTATTTTACGTTGGAGCATCCTTGCTGGAGCGCTGAGGACAAGGACTGATGGGGAAGACATTTTTGTACTCTCTCAACGCTAGCTGAACTGCTCTATTCAAAACAAAGTTCATCGAAAGACGAAATCGGCGAATTAATAGAAGTTTTATTTTATGTTCCCCGCTTTGGCCTATTTCAAGTTGGTCACACTTAAGAATGGACAGCAATCATTCAAGGTGAATTAAGAATCGCGATTCGGATAGAAAACTAATGGCTGAAATTTGTTTCAACCCATTTTACTCTACCCATTTACCTACGTAGGCAATAATTACGTGAACGTGATTCATTCTCGCCTCATTATTTCGCTTTCAACAACATTCTACCTATTGCCCGCAATTCAAACAAACAAAACAACCGTTTACGAATAGATAATCCCGAGCGATTCCAAACCTATTAACATTAACGATAACTGACGATAAGACAAAACACGCGAGCATTCTCCCCAAATTATAACACACGTCAAACTGAAGCAAGCAACAAGAAGCAAGTCGGCCACAACTGTCGCTCATCGACTCATCCATCGCTCATTTTATCGTCGACCGTTATCAAAGAAAGGCGCCTCGTGGCGTTCGTTCAGCTCCGCTACATAAGGGTGGAAAATGTTCGATATATGTGTATACAGGGTAAGTCGATAGTGTGTTCTCTTTCGGTATTAGAGAGTTGAAGTGCTACCATGAACGTTAACGTAAACGTAGAAATTGACAGATATGCGTGCGCATTGATAGTGGGTTGACGGGTGTGTACGTTATCTCACGTACTTTCACGAATACCTTAAATATCAACGAACGTTAACCAAACTATACTCGAAATATGCCGATGAGTCAAAATTATTAAATTCGGGATATCCTAGGAGTTCTGCATCAAGGAAACCTCCCATTTTGATAGGAATACATGTTCAGATCTAAACAAACAACCAAAAATTACAAATAGAAACCGAAAACAAAATAATATATTATTACTGATCATTACGTTACGATGACATTGACTACCAAATGACGACTTAACTCAATTCAAAGACAATACGTAAACGTTATTTTTCAAACGTCTACGTGGAGGTCTGCGTACAGTGATTACTTCAACTCTCTATTTCCAAAAGGTCAGATATATATAGAAAAAATTCGAATACAACAGTTGAAGGGCTTCATGAGAACTATCACCTGAAATTATGGTCATATATCTATAGGGTGTTGGAATTCCAAAATATCAGGTGATGATGTTTTTTTTTAAATTGGGCAGCCCATTTATTATTGCATTTTCAGGTTCTTCCTGAAGAACTGATTTCATCAATGTATTTACATTACAGAGATATTCAGAGATATGGTGTTCAAAATCGAGATTTACTTTAGGATTTTTTGTGTCGAAACTATTTATTATTGGTCAAAACGGCGTTCATGTCCCTATCTTAACTTTTAATTCAAGGTGGTTCAAGATTCAAGCATTCTGATCACAGTAGATATTAAATCAGAAGTTAAGATATGATGTGTAAGCCGTCTTGACCAAAAATGAATTAGTTTCGACACAAGAAAATCCTAAAGTTGAAAAATCTCTATTTTGTACACCCTATATCCCTGTAATCATTCCTGCTAGACCCCAAGTGTGTTACATTGATGAAATCAGCTGTTCAGGGAGAACCTAAAAACACAATAATATACAGGAAGTCCCATATAAGAAAAACCATCATCAGCAGATATCTTGGAATCCGAACACCCTATATGGGTATGAAAATAATTTAAGGTGATAGTTCTCGTGAAACCCTATAACTTTTGTATCTGAATTTTTTCTTTACCGTGTGTCCCAAGTTATCGTATACTGGCAATATCTCACTTATTTGACAAGATATTTGAAACATTCAAAAACTGCATTGAATGGAATTGAAGTACTTCCTAATGAAATATAAAAAAAATGTTGTATTCCGAATTGAATGACACGTAATTTCCAATATCAATATACAGGGGGTGCAAT